ACATTTTATAGAAAAACCTAAATATTCCATAACAAATAAATATGTCATTTTTCTTTTCATTGCATAATAGGGGTGCCGAAGTCCTGCACATTCAGATATATCTTCCAAAGGAAGAAGATAGATAAATACCGATTCAATGTACAAAAACGTTCAACTTTATCAGCATGCAAGTCTGCGACTTTGGAAGATAGCGATGTTATGTTCTAGGGTTATAAAGCACTTAAAAAGGAGCTTCAAAATGCTGTTTGCTGTCATCTTTAATTGCTCAACAGTTATTTTCACGTTAAACTATATTATTCATGCCGCAACTTCATTATCCCTAGTTTAAACTTGTTACTTCAGTACAAAAAAATAATTGCAAATTAAGCGCTGTCTTGTTCTAAATGTTTTAACATGAGTTTAGCTGACTTAGATTAGAAAGACATTGTTCCTCTACGATCTGTGTTTTTTTGTGAGATTTCTTGGACTTCTAGTAATCTTAGGTGTACACAAAGGGCCACCGGGCGTCTTGGAACTTGGTTCCTGGGCCTAGAATTTAACTCTGCCCTTGAACCACTTCAACCGGAGGTCTTTCGTCTTGCCCTGCTTCTATACGAATCAAAAAGCCGGATTATCTCAAAAATGTTGCCCATACAGAAGGCACGCCACTGTTGATAGTAGCATCCAACTAGCGCCAGTCAACCAGTTTTGCAGATTAGCTGATTGACTATGTATGTGTATCCGACTAGTGAAGTGGCATTGCAAGAACATTAACCAGAACCGGATTCAATAATATGATACTCTTTGTCTTAAATGCAGTTCGGAAGTCAAAATCAACTATAAACAAAGGAAAAATGGTTATAGGTACCTCGCAAAAACAAAATTTAGTTGTAAATTATCTGTATTGATTTGGGACACGACGCAATGGGTAATTTTCGTCCCCTGCTGTTCAGTTGTTATAAGATAAGAGCATATTTCGCTCTTAGAAGCACTGGTGTAGACAGCAGCACTTATCGATACCATCTCTCGCTGATTATCATAAGGGCGCTCGTTCTCAGAAGCAGAAGACGACGCCCCTCCTCCTTCTTCAATATTATATACCTTGCAGATCAAAAATTAATTTTCAGCCATTTACCTGGAAGGCTTACTCAGTATCCTTGTGTTACCTGACAGTGTAACGGTTTCACCGTCCGATTGTATTTATTAAATCACTTCTCGATTTTCATTTCAGAATCGCAACTCATTAACCCCATCTCTAGCTTATCCCATCTCTAGCTTTTTTACTTGGAAACATTTCCGCTTGGAGCGCGCTTGATGCGGAGTTCCTGATCTGTGATCTTCCTCGCGCTTCCTTTTCACTTGAGCCGCCGATCTAACAAGAGCTGAGAATTTTGTTCTCTGTAGCATGAGGTCATATAGCACCATGTGCTAGCATTTTGTAAAATGTGTGTCCAAATAGGATAAAATGATTGAGGCCACCCCCTTTGCCTTTGCCTTTGACTTTGCCTTCCTTTGTCTTTGACTTTGGCTTACCTATCGCTTGGCCTATCACTTTGCCATGCATGTGCCTTGGCAGCGCCATCACTTACAGCTTCATCCTTGATGAAGATCACGTTTAAGTTCAACTTCACTGCATCCTTCGCCTACATCTAGTTTTGAAGCCACTAAATATGAGGTCACCCCTCATAACTGGGACCTCCACTTGAAGCCCTTGGCCATCCTCGCTTCAGTCCAGTCAAAATGGACCAGCTTAGCGAAAGATAAGTGGATAGTTTTGTAACAGCGCCAAAGATTTAAAACTTTTATTTTGTTCTTTAAAATTGTAATGTAATGAAAATGTTTTTCTAGTTAAATAAAATCTGTTAAATTTTTGTGTTCTGTTTGTTCTTCTATCCTCTAGCCATGCCATGGTCGACACACAGCTACACGCCTGTAGATGTCTTCATGCCACCGACTGAGCTACCGGAAGCTAATGGTAACCCCCTTTCTGTGATTGTGCAGAAAAGTTGGAATCTTCATTGCATTCCATCTTTTCTGGACTTTTTGCAGAAAGGAAGGATTACAAGAGATTTGAATGTATAATAATATGTCTCACAACTGTTATGTGGATATTGTAAAAATTTTTGTATTAATATTCATTGCAAAAACGTTACAAAACTTGACGCATATTATCGAAGAAAATGAAAGGGCTTGATGAGAGAAACACAATAAGCAAAGTGACGTCATTCTACACCCAATATGGCGACCACCTCAAGATGACGTTTATAATTACCATAGTCACGCCTATAATATAGGGATCAAATTAAAATGCTTTATGACAGAAATACAGCAAGCAAGATAAACGTCATTCTATATACAATACAGCAATATCCCTCATATGGCGTTTATAATTACCAAGGTCATAGTCATATGATATAGGTATTAAATTAGAAGGCTTTATGAAAGAAAACATAATAAGCAACGTGACGTTATTCTAAATACAATATGGCGGCCACCGCAAAATGGCGATTTATAATTTTCATAGTGACTCCTTTATCATGGTTATAAAATGCAAGCGCTTGATGAGGAAAACACAATAAGTAAATAATCTGATTCCAAATTCTATATGGCGATCGTTGCAAAATGTCCATTTATTATATACGTAATATTATATTGTTTATATCTATCGAAATTTTATAATACAAATAAAGTAAGAAATTTTATGGAATCTTATTTATAAAATATGTGACGTTTTGACAGTTGGATGGAAAAAGAGTGTAAAAAGCTTTTATTTGAAAACTTCAGATAAAGAAGATTCATTAAAAGCTTGTTTTTGAGTAATTCTTTTTTATTTTATTTGTTGACATATAAGGTGTTTCTAGACTTGTTCTTGCCTTGCAAAGTTATACAAAACCAAAATGGCGGATTTTAATCGAAAATTTCAACTTTGTTCGTATTATTCCACGGATATACAGCTTAATCCTTGATGAATTTTGACACTACGATGGGTCTCTAAATTTGTTTCGACAGTGCAAGTGTCGCTGATGGGTGTACTAAAATTTTATGAAGCCAAACGGGCTGATTTTATTAAGAAATCTCCAGATTTGACTGAATATAGATGGCGGATTTTAAACGCAAACTTCAACTTTGGGCTTCTGGTTCGCTGGCCACTGTCCATACAGATTGATGGATTTTGACACTTGAGGTGTCCTTACATTCACCTTAATAACACACTCAATTCTTTATTCTTATCAGTTACTGCTGTCTGATTGTTTGTATGTTTAAACATGTACATGTCTTTTTCTCTATGGGACTGAGCATCTGGGGAGGGAGGTTTCCGTTTTGAATTATAAACGAATTGTAGATTTGACAAACCATAATGGGCAACATTTTGAAAACTTATTGGAATAAAAAGTGGTATTTTCTTGTGTTTTTGTTTCCTATCTAAACAAATCAAGGCAAATAAACATTTTTCTTATTTTCTCGAAAACGAATCGACTCAAACGTCAAAATAAAGGACTTTGAAATACCTTTCAAACAGCTATTACTCGATACCAATTGTCATTTAAAATTTTTAAGGGGATGACCCTGGGGGCAGAAGGTGAAAGAGTGTGAAGTAGCTTTGGGTTAAAACGTTGTCCCCGTTGACCAATCTTTTGACGTGTCTCAGCGTTTTTTCTTTTAATCAGTTGTTTTTGATAAATCTGCGGTGGGAAGTTTTCAAATGAACATCCTGTATAAGCCCTAAAACAAATATGAGCGCCCGATCGTTGCTTTTTTCGCTTGTCGCTGCCTGCCCCAGGGATTTATGTCCCGCTGTGCAATAGAAGTGCGCGGATTTGAACGAAGCGCAGTGATGTTGGTTTTGACAAGTGGTAACAGAGATGAGATTGAGTTTTGCAATGAGATCGACTGATGGATCCCAAAGTCAAACTTCAACTTTTAAAAAATTTCAGCAATTTTTGATGGTCATGTTTCAAGTCAGCATCTCAAATTATCACGGTGCACCCAGTTTTGTTCGATACGATTACGAATTTAATATCAGTTTTCTGTTGAGCCCTAATTTCCCCACTTCAATTACCATCATTATTTGATCACCATATGTATTTCAAATCAGCGATGTATGATCAATTTTTGAATACAATGCAATGATTTCATACCGTGAAACATACCTTGTATAATAATTACCAGAAAGAGATTTCACGAATGTCATATACTGATATACAGTGCTTTTCAAAAAGGTCCCGTGCTTATTTTTTGAACAGGTCAAGTAAGCAATCTTAAAATCTGAAAGGTACACAACGATTTTTTTACTTAAAGAATTCGGTGAAATAAGGAAAAATAACAAGCGTCGTCGGGTCATCCTTCATCAAGACAATGCGAGATCTCATCTCTCGTGAAATAATTAAGTATTTGAGCACTCAAAACATTGATTTATTGAGTCTCCCCCATACAGTCCTGATTTGGCACCTAATGACTTCTTTCTATTCCCGTTCGTCAAGAATAAATTGCGTGCACAACGGTTTTGGTCGCCAAAATAAGCTGTTGTCGCAAAAGTTTCATTTCCTACTTCTGTTGTCTATGCAATTTTTGAGATCACGAAGTTATCTTCAATCTTGTTCAGGTGAACTAAACTACAAATTTTAAATAACAGATCATGAAGCATGGTTTGGATATATCTCAAGCGGAGTGAAAAATGTGTTATGGAAAATGGTTGGAACGCATGAAAAAGTGAGCGATTGCAATTGAAGTAAACATAATGTAGTTTGACAACTTTTTTAAGTGGAATGTTTGATGTTTTGTTACATATTCCGATGGTTTCTTGCAAGAGAAAAAGATTAATACGACATACTTTTACAAAAACGTTCAGCTTTGACAGCCTACCAGCCCGCGACTTTGAAAGATCTCGATGCATTGTTCTAGAGCTATGAACCACATAAAGGTTAAAAAGTACTTACAAAGTTTTATTAACCTTTTAATTTCAGCTTGCTAACTTTACTCAGTGGTGGGAACCTTTTTGGAAAACACTGTATAAGGTGTATGAATGTCGTACGCATTTACCGCAACCTTTCCTTCATGACTCACAATGTTTTAAATACGTTTATTTACTGGGATTGACTTGAGTCACCACATGAATTATCCGCAAATATGTCATCCATGTTTCTATAGAATCCTGAACATTATCTATCAATTTCCGTTCTTACAGATATGCCAGTTTCCATAACATCACTCAGTGTCAACGGTTCAGTATTCGTTATTTTATCACAGTTGCATAGTAGACGAGTAGATATTTAAAAAATGATTATCATACTGTTTTTGTTATGTATCAAAAGCGTCTTATTGTTTAATTTTAACATGGATAATGTGAAAGAGATTAGTGTCAATAGTGCGTATGGGAGTGACACATATTTTGGATACAGTGTTTTGTTACAAGATGGGACGCAACCATTGTAAGTACCGATTTTCGTTTTTTTGAGAATATACGTTATACAGTTCATTATCAAATATAAAGGGCAATTTTCAAAGTATCAACTTGCTTCATTGTATTGAAAAAAGGAAAAAAGAATGAATATTTCTTACCGTTCCATATAATAGTAATCGAGAACCAAGCGATTAACGTTCTAAGTACCTCAAATTTATATGCTCGGTTTCAGCATCCAAAATTACAGAATACCGAGCTTTGTCGGTTTGTAACAACAGGTATCGAAAATGGAAATTTTGTCCTATTATTAAATTAAGGATATCCAAAATTCACGCAACATTTGAATTTGCTATAATTCGCCTGGTGTAGTGTTTGCAATTTGCAACAAGACAAAAGGAACAGTCTGATAGCTGTCAGATTAAGCCTAGTTCATACAGACGTGAATTGCGAATGCTGAAAATTCATGCCACCCATATAGAAGCGAATTTCGCAATAATTTTAGGAACATTTTCTTTTATTTTTTCTGGCATACTGGAGTGTTGGTACATATGGTTAGGCTTGTTCGCTTGTTCTGTTATTTCTGATGAAAAACGAAACTTGTTTCTCTGGCGTCGAAGGCAACCAATTGCTGCGAATGCCAATTTAGCCTTTGAGAAAAAAATAAATAGTTCAATTCGGGCGATCGGTATAATTTTTAAGTTCAGAAAACAGTAAGGGACATTTCATAATGTTGCCCAAGAAATGAGACTTAAAGGTAAAAAGAAGAAACATTGAAATCATGCAAACGACAAACACATAAAGAATAACTCACAGGAAAATACAAAAAGATACTGGCGCCATTCCAAAACAAGCGAAAATAAAGTAAACAAACCAAACAAATTGGAATTGCGCGTGCGTCAACCCCAGGTTTGACAGCATTGACAGAAAATTCGCAGACAAAAATCAAATCCAAGCGAATAACCAAAATTTCTGTGTTATGTGCCGCGGTTATAATATGGTTCAAGATGACACAAGGGTTGATGTCGTCAGTTACACGAATCGCTTGAACGCGTTGGTTTTAACTGCGGTTTTGTTGCAAGTTGTTTATTTTAGAAAAGCGCGTATATAATCTGTGATTATTTTTATTATCACTTAATAATCGGTGCTTTTTCGTCTACAACTGTATATGGAACGTTTAAATAAGAAACCTTTCATAATATTCATGGGAGAAATGTTTTTTTCAGATTTTTTTTTAATGATGGAACCATGGCTTTGTAGCTATGATAACTTTCAATTCTATAAATTTTTCCACATGTCAAAGAAAACATTTATTGATTCAGCAGAAATGATGAAAAAAGAAATTAGCAAAACCGAATACAGGTGGATATCATCTAGTGAGTTTATATGACCATATTTTACTATTCTTCTGGTATATGGCTTCACAGGATACTTTGTTAAGCATAGGAACTACATTTAAAGTGTCCCCAACAAACGTAATGAGTATAACTAATAAGGTGCTCCACTTTATGGTAAAAGTGAAGTCAGCCTGTATCATTTTTCTCAAAAATGAAGCTGAAGTACAATAACAATATCCAATACCCGGCAAAATTCTAACTTGTCACATTTCAAATAATAACCAGAAATATAAAACTACTCTTGAGTTGGGTAAATACCACAATTTTGCGGTGATAACTATGACGTATAACAGCTGATTCGTGACGTCACGGATCTTATAACCAAACTGATAACTACACTCGCTTGAACGGATTGGTAAATACCAACCCAAAATGGTAAATACCATTTCCATTTGGTTATCCGCTTGAATTTGATCAAAAATCCCAAGAAATGAGACTTCCAAGATTTCTGCCCCCTAGGTTTCAAATTTTGCTAATCGCAAGGAAATTGGAATATAAAAGCTGTCATTTGTCACGTCTCTAAATTGACCAATAGGAGTGTTATTTGATTTAGTCGCAATCTCGATTCGGCTTTAGGGTTAGTACAGTTAGTAAAAATGGAACGTTAGAGAACAGTACGTTTTCATGGTTGAACAGTATTTCAATAAATAAAATAACAAATACATTTATATTTAGTTGTTAAAACGAACTAGAAATTCAGAAATATTTTGTACGCATGGAAATATGCCGTTAAAATCGATTTTGAAAATCGACTGATATTGAAAAAGATAAAATCGATTCTACATTAATCGATTTTTACTTCCCACGCCTACCGGCGGGGAAGTATTGTAATTGCGAGAAATTTCGAAAAGGAGATATGTTTTTCGGAGGTGGTATGACATGTACATTACGAAGAACCTCATTTCCGTCGGTGTATCTGTCGGTCTGTCCGCTAGTCTTATAACCGCCTATAACTTGAGAAATACAGCTCGGGTTTCGATGGAGTTTTTATACGATAATATTACTATGTCAAGGACGTAAAAGCTTTATTCGTTTTGAAAATAGACCTAGTGGCAGCAGAGAAAAACAAAAAAAAATACCGCTCAAACTTCGTTTTTGACGTTTCAGAGGGTCCTAGCCGTATTTGAAAAAAAATTTAGGAATAAAAAAACTTGGGGATGGTGGTTGTAGAGGAATGGGACGGGCTTATTTCAATTTTTGACTTTAGTACATTTATACGCTCCCAACATTGCTAATTCTAAGGAACTCTTAGATATATTTCACACATCATATACCTATTTCTCCGTACATTGGCCCTTAAATTTAAAATATTCTCAGCAGACAGATCGCGTACCTACCAAGGCAAAAAGTTAATTTTTGACTCTTTTAAAATCAATACGGAGGAAACAAAAAAATCCTCAAAGATACCAACCAAATCTCATAGGAGCTTTATTCCAGTTTTTGGAAGTACCTACCCTTTCATTCTCTGTCTTTCAAAGTCAGATATCTCCGCGAGAAATAATCGTATCGAGATTTTAAAAACATGATATTGAAGCTGAATAAATGGGCTATCTGATACGCATGGCCTATCAGAAAAAAAACACTTTGCAAAAATTTTTTCTTGTGCTATCTGTTAGAATTGCATGAGAACCGTTGCTCCTATGATTGTTCGGCTCCAAAATCTGAAAACACTAGGATCTTAAAGACTCGAAATGCCATTTTTAAAGTCCATTTTTGATCGAAATACAGCCTGTCAAAGATCACCGCAAAATTTGGATGTTTTCCTTGCTGCCACAATTTTTTTGACTAGTGTATGTAAAATGATTATGGAAGAATTCGCCTAAAGGATGTGCATGTGCCAACAAAATCCGATGAGGGCACTTGCCCGATGCGATATTCCATACACAACTCTATCATGTGTACTTTAATGATTCAAATTCTGTAATATAAATGTTGCGTACATTTTGGGAGTCTTTTTATTTGCAAATAAAATCAAGTGGAGTTGCATTTATAGAAAATGATCATGTGGAGAAAGGTATATAACAAAAAATAGGAAAATAATGTGTAAAATCCGCAAAAAGTAGGAAAGTGGATTTGAGCAGAAAATAGAATATGTAACCCGAGCAATACGTATTTCTGCTTGTTGGCTTCATCAGGATCAGGCCCGAAATGAATGCACATATGCAACCACAAAGGTAGATACACTTGCCCATACATCCGGATATGGGTGTAACCTGATGAAACGAAGATGGAGAAGGAAAAAATATGACTCACGAAGTCCCCAACAAGAGCCAACCTACACATTGCAGTATAAAATGGCTAGAAGACCTCGAATTTTCAAGAAGACTTCGTGTGTCATATATTTTTTCCTTCTCCATCTTCGTTTCCTCAGGTTACATCCCTATCCGGATGTATGGGGACGGGTAAACAAACCTCTGATCAGTGTACATAAAATACTTCTTGATTTGTTTTACATAGGATCATTATTGGTGCACCCAAATTGAGTTCTCGGACAGGAGGTGGGGTATTTGCCTGCAAATTGAATGGAATATGTACCAATTATGATTTAGTTACTAGTAAGTATACCATTTTTTTGTAAGTCATCAAGCATCAAGCTACTCAGGAGCTTACTCATTTTTTATTTTTTTTTATTTGCCCGGCGAAATGTTTTTAAGACCTCCTATACGAGGGATGTCTTTTAAGTTTTGTATATGGAAATAAAACAACACGATAGGTAGTTTTAGATGACTTTATTGTTTTTCGAAGTATTCTCCACGAAGATTAATACACATCTGCATGCGCTCGAACCAATTTTCGAAGCACTTATTCCACTCGTTTGCTGGCAGATCCAAAACGGCAATTTTGAATGCGTCAACTGCTTCTTCTAATTCCACGTTTTCTTCCGTTAAATACTGCCTTGTCTTTTGGGCTGTGTGCGAGCTTGCATTATCTTGGTGAAGGATGATTCTTCTTTCGGGGTTGATTTTTTAAAACTCGGTGATGACTTTTGGCAAACAAATGGTAGTATACCAATCCGCAGTAACAGTTCTTTGCTCATTAAGAGGAATTGTTGCAATATGACCTGCTTTTGACACAAATGTCGCGACCATCTTTTTCGAAACACTTCGAGAACGGATGACTTTTGTTGGCTTTTCTTCACCTGGGAACACCCAAACAGCCAACTGTCATTTATTTTCTGGTTCATAACAGTAAATCCACGATTCATCACCACTAACAATGCTGTACACATTTTTTGAGTTTCCGGAATTGAAACGGTGAAGCGTTTTTTGACACCAATTAACCTTGGCTGCTTTCTGCTCTTTAGTCAACAGGTGGGGTATCCAACGAGAAACTAATTTTCTTACTCCTAATTCTTCATGTAAAATTTTTTGAATTGAGGTCTTTGAGATCTTCAAGGACGCCTCAATCTCGCGATATGTCACATGTCTATCTTCAATGATGAGTTTGCGCACAGCATCGACGTTTTCCTGGGTGACTGCCGTTTTTGGTGCACCCACCCTGGAATCACTAAGACTCACCCGTCCATGTTTGAATTCTCCATACCTACGGGAAATTGTCGACTGATGTGGCGCTTCGTTGCCGAAAACAGACAGTAACTCAGCAAGGCATTCTTTTTGCGATAATTGTCTCTGAAAGTTGTAATAAAGTATGGCGCGAAAATGTTCTCGGCTGAGTTCCATTTTTCTAATGACTTGGTGACACTTAAAAATTCACTGTAGTGAGAACACTGCACGTATTGTTCTGAAACTTTGAATTTAAGTTACTAAAGAGTGAGGTTAAGATTCAGTACTGACGTTCGATCCGCGCGGCCTAGTATGTTTCTATATGCAAAACTTAAAAGACATCCCTCGTAGTTATGATATAAAATGAATTTGAAACCAAGGTTTTGGGTAATATTATGTTTGTATTTATACAGATTCTTTTTGAGGTAATGGCCATACATTTACGGGAAATTTCCTCGGTATGTCCATGGATGGAACTGGTGAAACTGGAGGACCCTTTATTGTAAGTAATAAAGAATGATTTGTTTTACAATAGTTAGATTCGGTTAAGATTCTATACTCGTAAAGGGCTAGAATACCTACCTCTAGCATTGAGAAAGCAAAACCTAAATAAAAAGTAGCAAGCTAGAAGGATGTCAGAAAAAAATTTAAAATTGATCTTATTAAATATACATCAGTTTTATAAAAAACATGTTTGCCACTGAATGTTTGTCACTTAAGGGTCATCTATAAATTGATAACGGTATTTTACTTCCCACGCCTACTGGCGAGGAAGTATTGTAATCACTAAAAATTTCGAAAATGGGATATTGTTTTTTTTTATGTTATATGACATGTGCATCACGAAAAGCCAATTCACTCATTTCCGTTGGTCTACCTGTCTGTAGGTCTGTCCTTGGCCGTCGATAACTTGGAAAGTACTGCTCGGATTCGGATAAACTGTTCACAGAAGATTATTACTACGTCAAGTACCAATAACCTTTGTAGATTTTGAAAATCGGTTCAGTGACGGCAGAGATTGTGTGCATGAATGGAAATAATAAAAATCGGTCAAACTTCTTCTTTTGTCATCTTGAAGGCTTCTAATCATTTTGAAAAAATTTGTACAGTGGTTGAAAATTGGGAGTTGGGGTTATAGTGGGTGGAAGACTAATATCAAACGGACTTGTCGCGATACGAATTTGCTCCGGGGCTCGCTGCGATTGCCGCTATCGCCTAATCCCACCGCCACACTGCTCGAGCTCGTCAGCATACCATAGCTGACGTTGCCAGATGGTCGATACTTTCAGTAAGGGCAGGAAAGAACTGTAGATCGCAGATCGCAGCATTGAATGGGTGGGGCTATGGACTAGTTGTATAGACCTGTTTGGTTCATTTGATCTATTTAATTATTCTTTTGTGTTACAAAGTCGACCAACTTGACGCCATTTTTCTATTATGATGATTAAGAAAACCTGTCAAGACTAGTGAAAATTGATCCAGCTTATAATATTCTCCAAAAACTGTAGTATAAGGAGTTTACCTTTTGTCACGTTCATGGTTATTAATGGCCATGCTCGAGATTTTTATTTTTTAATGTCATGGGGAGCTTTGGAAAATTCGTGATTTGAAGGCAGAATGCTTCAAAAGTATCAGAGGTTTTACTTTATTAGTGTCCCATATTAAGATCGCTCAATGATTTGGAGGTCCTTTCATGGACTTACATTAGACCTCGCGTGATTATATGAAATAAATTAAAAAAAGTATGGAGTACGTTGTATGGTATTTTTGGTATTGTTTTTTGATTTAACGTTATAAATGTACTTCTAGGATGCTTGTAACGGTAATCAAGATCTTTCAGACGTTCGAATTTACTGTATTATTTTCAGGTTTGCGCTCCGAAAAAGGTAAAGGCAGAAGGCGAGAACAACCTTCTACCTGGCCATTGTTTTTACAAGCAAAATTCTTCGTATGTCTCGCCAGCAGCCTCCACGGTGAACCCACTTTACGATAAACGTAAGTTAGCAGCAGGTTATTGAGGATCTTCAGTGGCGTGCAACAGTGTTTTCAATTGGGGCAATGAACGAGGTTTAAATAACTAACTAACTATACTTGGTGTTTTCTAGAAGTGAGGCAAACATTCTTTAAGTGATCTTTGGACTGCTATGACTATTTTGTTATTTGACGATTTTCGCAATATCAGTTGATATCATGGAAAAATACATTTAACACTTTCTAAAAAAATATCCAAAACGACCAACTCAAAAATCTTTCCTCATATATTTTGTAAATATTTGGAAAAAATATCGCAAAATATATGAATTATATATACTATATACATATATATTTATTAAATATTAAAAAGTATGTCGCTACAAACATTTAACAAATTTTTTTTAAAAATATTTAATAGATATTTAATGCTGTCGGGGATGGTATTTTGCAACTCAACCGGACATCCTAATATTTAGTATGAAATTAACCTTTTTAAACGGATCAAAAACGAATAATAATGTGATCAGCGATCTATTACTATAGACTTATATGATTTTAGTAAAAGTAGATAGAGATATCGTAGGTGACCAATTTCTGTCAAAACTATCAAGGTAGATTCAGTGACAGAGTGATGAGGGATGATTATGTACTGCTGAGTAACCACGACTTCAGCTTCTTTTTGAAATTATTCACAGTACAATGTCGAAATTCATATGGAAGATTATTGTATAACTTGGCAGCAGTCTAAGAGAAGCTTTTTTGTAGAGAGACGTAAAGTGTTTGCGTATAACTAATAATTGTCCATTTCTGGTAGCCAAGATATCGACGTTTTCATATTTGTTGAGATCATTTAAAAGATATTCTGATTTCTCATCCACTGAAATTTTAATTCTCTTTGTACACTTGGCTTATATGGTCAAATTAGCGATTACCTAGAGAACGATAACAATAATATTTTGTAGCCGTTGTAACTTGTTTTTATCACTTTTTATTACAGCTGGGCCACATCCACTTGCGCAGTATGAAATATTTGAAATTTTAAGAGCATCACACAATAACATTTTCAATTTACTGTTCAATATATTTCTTTGGTGATATATTTTCTTGATAATATTATATGATTTTGAACATTTTTCTTTAATATAGAAATTAAAATTTAATTCATTGTCCAACCCTACATTTTTGCTAATCGTTACATTTTGTAACAGAAGTTTATTAATTGCTAACTGACAAAGATTTTCTGCTATTTTACGCTTGTTTTTTGCCCAAAAAGCATTGTTTTAGACTTATTAGCATTTAGTATCAAGTTATGAACTGCTGAGATATTGAACAAGTTCACATGGTTGTTAATTAGATTAAAAGAGGGAACCACATCGTCAATAGCAATGTTGCAGTATATTTGTGTATCATCTGCACAGTTATGAATTTTGCTGTGTTTTATATGTTTTAGAAAATCCAAAATGTATATATAAAAAAACAAGTGGACTAAGAATGAAGCATGGGGTATACCCATTTTTAGGGCCGATTTATTAGATAATTTGTTATTAATGGAGACATACCGATATCTTTTAGTAAGGAAGCTTTTTATGAGTTGGGCGGCAGCAGAGTAAAATCCATAATATTTAAGCTTGCCACACAAAATATCGTGTGGTCAATTGTATCAAAAGCTTTACGATAATCTAGTAATATTAAACAAACAGCTTTACCGCAATCTAGTGGACTAACATTGTAATCGACAATGATGATGATACTTAAAAAGTCCGATGGTTTTTGAGGAACAGATTTGGAGCTTTTTACTACAGTTTATACGTAATTCAGGGAGAAAGAAGTTGGTGATCATGTCGACGTAGCGCTCTGAGTTCACGGTAACATCACGACCATTACCGTCTTCGAAGAAGTAAGGGCCAATGATGAAAGTTTGCGATACAGCGCATCAAACCGTTACTTTTATGCTGTGCAGCGGTCTTTCGTGTAACTGTTGCGGATTTTCATTAGCCCAATAACGACAATTCTGCTGGGCTTCGTCACACTAAACAAAATGAGGTTCTCATCAGTGCTTCCATCTCACGTGAGAAGTTCATTCGTTGTGCTTAATCTCCGGGCTGTAACTGTTGCACAATGGCCAATTTGTAGGGGTGAAAGCGGAGATCCATATGCAAAACTCGCCTTACCGAACGATCACTAAGGCGAAGTGCAGCAGCATGTTTCCGTGCAGATCGAGTCGGACTGTCGAACGCCTTCAACATTTTCAGGAGTTCGAACTGTTTGCGGCGCTCCTCTTGGTCTTCTGTTGATCAGTTCACCACGCCTGCGAAGTGATTCAATCCAACGAAGGATGATGTTTCGAGAGGGAACAGCTCTATTCCGATAAATATTGAAGTGGCGACGGAACTCACGCTGTACGACGATGACAGACTCATTATTTCGGACGAAACAATCATAGGCGAAAACGCGCTGCTCCACCGTCCAAGGCTCCATAACGACAACGGGTAAAATAATGCTAGGATCTCACGAGTCAAACGGCACCCTCCCCACCTCTCTCGTAGACGGAGAGTAGTACCCATCCCAAAAACGTCCGTCCACTCTGCCGCACCCTGTATTATTTTACGCCACCCCCCCCTCCTTTTAGCTTACGAGCACCCATTCAGTTCATATGAGAAACGTGATAGTACGAGTAAATGCTAATGTTAGAACTGATACTATGAAACATGGATGTGATAAAACGTTTTTGAAATATTTGATCCGATATTTTATTTGGTAGAATACAACATTTGATTTGGTCGTTTCAAAAACCTCGTAAGTCACACAGATTGAACCTTTCACGAGACAAAAAAACTGTCTTTGCTAATAAACCAGTTTTAAAGAACCTTACTGAGCTTAATACAGTATTTGGCGTTTTAAAAGATTGAAATATCGAATAAGCTTCACGGTTTGTTAATGGTAATAATGAAAAGTGTCCTGGACTACCGCTGTTTTAGGAATGAATAGAGTTACTGGTATATCAAGAATCATATTAATCTTAAATTTATATAGCTCGTTATCGAAAATTACATCCAAACTATGAATCGGCCATCGTAAATGAGGACGAGTTATTCGTTTAACCTTCTTCAATAATTATTGTCAATCGGTTGTGGAAAAACCCACGTGCTTATTTGACTACCTGACAGCAAGATGTACTTATTTTTTCATCAAAATTAATTTTACAAGACAGGAGTGTAATTCCATTTTTATACTATCTATTTCGAACTTCTTTTCAAAATGTTTGGCATGTATTTAAAGGACTTTATTGTGATACAAGTTAGGAGATAAGGCAAAGTTGATAATGTATTCTCCCGAAACCAGCGGCATATTGTAAGAATTCCTAGTGCCCTTAAGATTTGCCGCTCCATAAAGAAAAAGGAAAAAACGCTGGTAACAGCTTATTTCGTTTTAGATGTTCTTATTTTTTTGATAAAAATGATATTTTCAACAATAGTGGTTATCCTGTATTTTCATAGCTTCTCGAAATCGACAAAAATTGTCTTAGTATAATCCAAAGAGACACCCGTTGATCAAGAAGCCTTACACGCAATTTTTCAATAAATATTGTTATTATTTTTGTACATTTTAGCGACGATTTAGCTGTCAATGCCATTCAAAATAATCTTTCAAGATGGCGCTCAACCACCATATTAAAACTTTCAACTGCCATTATTTAGTGTATAAAGTATTCAATGAAATTACCCCGAATTCAACTTCCTAACTTGCCCCGTACAAAAAATAAGTAGGGGAGAGGGCGTTTTGAAAAGCACTATATAGAAAATCACAATGTAATTTTATTTTATTTTAGCGACGATTTCGGTACATAACAAAGTTGGATACTACGATTATGGATTTGGCGAAGCCGGGCTAGATGTTCGTTTCATTGTAGGTATAGAAAAGTATCTCAGCTCACAAGTCTAAAACAGTCTTATATTTTAGGATAGAACAACGGTGTTGTTAGGAGCTCCAGGAGTAAAAAATTGGAATGGTGATTAAAGATAATTGAAATTAAGAAAAGATCGTATATTTTTCTGTTTTTAGGTGCGATTGTTGTTGACTCATTGTCGAATACAAGAACACCAAAAATCATCCCAGAAAGAAAAGCTTTCTTTCCCGAAGAAAACGATACGTATTTCGGTATGTTTTCGATTTTTCTAATTTGTGTTTGGTGGATATTTTTTGAAATGACACTTGTAATTTTAGGATATACCGTTGGAACAGCAACAATAACAGTAATGGGTGAACAAGTGGCTGTAATTGTAGGGGGCAGCCCTAGAGGTGGATCCCTTAATGGAGCGGTAATATTGAAAAACAAAATTTCACATTATGTAAAATAGAAGCACTAAACGAAACATTACGCAAATTTTCATAGGGGTGCTTCAGGACTAAAGTTTAGCGGCAGTTTTCAACGTGTTGACCTAAATATCTTATATTATACACTATTCCGCATTTCCCCCTATAGACACACGATGTAACTTACCTTACTACCCCCCCCCCCCCCCCCCCCCTCCCGCTATGTTCAATTATGACGGCTAGAGCGATATCGTAACTTTTGCGGTATACTTTTGGGAACTCGGAATCGATAAGAGATAAGAAGTGGCTAAACTGGAGGAGGCATAGTTTTTAGGTAACTAACAGGATGCCGCTTAGAAAGTCTTGAAATTTAAAGTACTTTCAAAGAGAGACGGAATAAACCGCATTCTCCTAAAATTGTTTTAATTTTTTCCAGACTTTATTTGTAGTGGGATTTCAAAATAAATTGCATATTAAGATTGCCACTTTTTCTACTCTACAAGATGGCATAATTATAATTGCAATATGATGTCCTCCAGCATCAAATTTATTTTTCCTTAGGAATGTCATATTAGATTCTTGAGCAGATAGAGTTTTTAATTCGGATTTCAAGAATGTATAATATCTCTGTTTTCGGAAATACTTTTAATTTCGAAACTTACTAAGCGGCATTTTCCTAATTTCTCGATTTTGCATCCATTTAAGCGACTTCGTATATGAATTAAATGCACCTTAACGGTATGTTCTTTCAAGTTAGATGGCGAGGGCAACTTTTGAATTGGCGCATACACGTTTTCCTGATGGTCTCGTGATTTCTCGATGTTGATATCCTCTGGCTTGCGAGATCAGAAATTCTAACCCCGCATGACATTTTGTTTGGGGATTCATCGAGGATAAAGTCAGACAAACAATCCGCAGAGGATTTATGGTCTGAATCAAAGCATTTCAAAATTTAGCGGCAATTACATAGATATTTTCAACGATCCCATATACAGGGTTTGTCCAGAAAGTAATAGGACTGAGTCGATTTAAAAAAAATTTTTGAGCCAATCGTTACAATTCTTTGAAAACTTTCAAAATAGGCTCCTTCTGCGTCGATGCAGCGCTGCCAGCGCGATTTCCAAACATTGAGGACGTCACGGAAGGCATTCTCCGGAATAGCCTTGAGCCGCGGTGCATGCTGCTTGGATCCCCTCTGTCGTCTCAAAATACTTGCCTTTCATCGGCCTTTTCAGGCGAGGAAACAAAAAAAAGTCCGAGGGGCAACATCTGGGCTGTAGGGCGGCTGCGGAAGCGTTGGAATGGCGGCCTTGGTCAGGTAGCAGAAAGGCGGTGTGAGCCGAGGCGTTGTCGTGGTGCAACTGCCAGTCGGCTGCGATGTATTGTCGGACCCAGATTTTGGTAAATTTAACATCTGGGCAATTAAACGAATACTTAGTCGGAGACAACTGACCAGCCACTCATTCGTTAGCAATGAACGTCCTCTACCGAATCCAGTCACTGCGCGCACGCTCCGAAGTAGAGTCATGGCGGAAGAAAATGTCCTATTACTTTCCTGACAGACCCTGTATGTACGATCAGGCCTCCCTTGTTCCTATTTTTATAGTGTGTCTTGATTGTGGAATCTTCCTGGGTGTGTGGTTAGTCGCGTACCCATGTATCAATCCTGTTCTCCCGAGAACAGACACTTTTATAAGGCTTTGGTGCATGGAGCCTTCAAATTTGCGGGACCCCTAGCATCTCTTGCTAATCCGCCATCGCCCTACAAACAATCATGCTATTTTTCCAAAATTGTATCCACATGTTTACAGTAATTCATATATTGGGGCTCTTCTTCACCTGCTTTAGATATTTATCTCGATGATTTTATGATACCACCATCGTAATATTTTGTGTCTATTATATTTGACTTTTAGGTAAAAATGTATGATTTCGATGGCAACTTAGTACGCGAATTCTTTGGAGAAGAACCTGGATCATACTTTGGCTCGTCAGTTTTAGCAGTGGATATGAACAACGATCAAATTGATGATCTGCTTGTTGGTGCACCGATGGGCTCAGGTTCTACCTACGATGAAGGATACGTATACGTGTATTTATCTGTAAGAATAACTAAAATATGATCGGTAAACCAACAACATGTAACATCATACAGAGTGATTCAAAAAGCACTGGCAATGTTTTTGAGCAAGTACGGTTAAAAATAATGCGAGGATCCTACAGTCCAATCAAAATAAAGATTAGGTTTGCAAAAATTCCCACAATGTCGAACATTGGTACGTACCTTGAGTACACCATTATGAATGATATATCAAAACTCCTCATATATCCTTGGGGCGGAACCTTGTCTGATTTGGGTTGAAATGTCAAAAATATCACGTTTTGTCATATTTTTCTAAAAGGAAACAAGATACCACAAAATACCTTATACCACAATTGCAGTGGATATAATTATCTATAAACATTGTTCAACTACTTTTATTCCTTCAGTCACCGTTCTTGAAATTTAGTGATGCGGCATATATTTTGTGTACCTACGCCATTAATCGTGCAATATGAACATTTAGGTGGAAGCACTGATATTTGCGGCTTATACTAAAATACATGCCTCTTATACAGGATGTGTCAAAAAAGTGTCAGTGATTTTTCTAAAAATGCATTCCGAACCAAAGGCTTGCATACAAAACAATGGAACGTGAAATGCTTGAAAATTTAAAATAGAAGGCAATGGCATTCAAGTCTTAGTTTCGAATACAAAGCGTACCCTCTTGAAAATTGCTTCAGGCCTTCATATGTTACTGCAATTCATAACATCAAAAGTCCTCAACGATCTTATGAGCTTAAAATTTTCTGTTGGATGTTACATGTCAAAATTACCATTATTTATGTTTGTCTAGGATGGTGCGAGTAACTACAATAATATTTAACACCGAAATTGTAGAGAACTCAATTTTCTATAAAACCTGCTCAATTGGTTTTTTTGAGTAGCTCTTTATGCGTTCTTTGATTTATAGGATCTAAGCTAGTGCTACGGCGCATATGCGGTATAGCTTATCGTTATCGATCGTTTGATATGAACAGAGATAAGAAACCGATGAAATGTGCGATATACAGTATTCAGTTATCAATAACATCTTTGAGGTCCATGTCCCTAAATGTAAAAATAAAATGTTTTCGTATCCCCCATGGTTCACACGTGAAATTATACTTAATATCAAGAAGAGGGATATAGCAAGGAGGAACTGGAAACGTCTTATGATCAGTTCAGTAATTTTAGGAAGCTCATTAAGAACCAGATCAGTGTTGCCTACTCCGCTTACGTCCAATCGGTTGAGGATGCCATTGTCAATGATCCTAGCAAATTCTGGTCATTTGCCCAGATCAAAAAACAGTAATCTAGAATTCCCCCAAGGATGAAGCTTAACGGCAATGTCTGCGATACGCCTAAGGATATAGTGGACAGTTTTGCTACCTTCTTTTCAACAGTTTTTATGCCGTCTAGTCTACTAGGGTCATCTTCTCCAACAAATAATTCTACCGATATCATTTCTTTAAAAAATATAAGTGAAGAAAACGTAATTAGGGCTTCGAAAAGATTAAAGAACAAAATGACGTCTGGATGTGATGGTATTCCAAGTTTTTTCGTTAAAGATTGCATTCATGTACTAGCGAAACCGCTGGCTTCCATATTCAACCTAATTCTAAAATCAGAGACATATCCAAATATCTGGAAGACCTCTTAAATATGTCCGATTCTCAAAAGTGGAGATATCTCTGATATTTCCAACTATCGCCAAATAGCAATCCTGTGCAATTTCAGCAAGTTCTTTGAGATCATCGCTTATGAAACGGTTTTCTGCTCGGTAAGGGGTGCAGTCTCTATTAATCAGCATGGGTTTATGAGAGGCAGATCTACGGTCACCAACTTGGCTCTAATTACTCAATACATTTCTGAAGTACTGGACGGTCACAGACAAGTTGATGTCATCTACACAGATATTCAGAAGGCGTTTGATCAAGTTGATCATTATGCACTTCTGGATAAGCTTAAAACAGTGGGTATGTCTGATGCAATGCTGTCGCTCATGAATTCATATTTGAGGGATAGAAGGTTATTTGTCGAATATGGTGGTCATAGGTCGAGTTACTATCGGGCCACGTCCGGGGTACCTCAAGGGTCAAATCTAGGTCCATTATTGTTTTTGATATTTATTAATGACTTGTCTTTTGAACTGAAGTGTTTCCATTTGTTTTTCGCTGATGACCTTAAAATCTGCACGTCAGGCAAGACAGTCGAGGATTGCGTCATGTTGCAAGATGGCTTAGCTCAAATTTGGTCATGGTGTTCACGAAACTGTCGCAGTCTGAATGTTTCGAAATGTAAAGTTATACAATTTTTACTATTCAATTTATGATAATTATAACATCAATGGTCAGGTTATAGACATATGCACCTCTTATAGAGACTTTGGAGTCACTTTTGATACCAAGCTAACGTTTACTGAGCATATACTCAATATCTCGTCGGCTGCCACTCGACTACTTGGTTTCTGTATCAGAAACTGGAAGGGTTTCTTCATTGTTGATACATTAATGACTTTATTTTTACTTTTGTCAGGAGCAAGTTGGAGTATGCGACTCTGATCTAGTCTCCTGTATCCCAAAATTCTGTCGTGATACTTGAGGCCATTCAACGTAAAGCTTTAAAGTATTTTCACCTTAAATGCACAGGTTCTTATCCAGAAAGAGGTTGTGACCATAGTGCCCTAATAGAGTTTTTCAACTTGGATTCACCGTCAACAAGACGAAACAAGTTGCTTTGTCGTTTTTGTATGGCCTCATTCACAATAAAATTGACTGTCAAAATTTACTTGAAAAAATATGTTTCCGCGTTCCAAGGCTAGGGAGTCGACAACAAACGGCATTCTAATGTCAAGCTGGATGTTCAAAAGTTATGACAAAATCGCCAATTAATCTCACGTGCTGCATCATGAACAGTGTTACTGAATCGTGTGATATTTACAGTGACAGTTGTGCATCGATTATTAACTACTATAGATCATCCAATCTTATTTAGAATGTGTGATACTATAGATTTAAGTCCAAGAACCATGTCTCTTTAATTGTTATTTTTTTTTCAGCATTTCCTGTAATTGGGTTTCACCTGTTGGAAATAAATAAATAAATAAATAAATACCTGACGTACCGAAAAAGAGACCGCGGTTTTTTTACTTGAATCGGCTGATCTTCATTTTTGATTGAATAGACATATGTATCTACTCTCTCCAGACTCAAATGTTTGTAACACTTAAGCGCCAAGCCAACTCTTGTCACGCTCTTTGCGTCAGTTGATGTGTGGGGTACCCAAACGCATACCAAGTTTCTTCACTTTTAAATGATGCCATATTATTCGCACAATACTTCGTTCAACAATATTCAGTGTTACTGCAAATGGTTTATATATGATGCTTCTGTCTTTCATTACAGCTTCTCTCAACTTGGATCGTCTTCTAAATTAAATAGGCATCGTTCACATTGTAGTTACTTGTCTTGTACATATTCCTTTATTTTTTAGATTACTCGAAGTTATCAGGCAAAGCTAACTGGATCAAGAAAAACGGGAGCAAGGTTTGGAACCTTGATTTCTACACTTGGAGACATTGATTTGGATGGTTATCAAGGTAAGTCAATGTCTATCCAAGATTCTAGTTTTTTTGAATAATTTTCTTCAATACAGATATAGCAATATCAGCACCATTTGAGGATGATGGAATTGGGGCAGTTTACATATACAGGGGCGGTTCTAAAGGTATTGAGATTGTTTACAGTCAAAGACTGTCGCCTTCAAGCTTCCAAGGAAATTCTGGAAATGTGCGAGGCTTTGGTCTGGGAATTTCGAAAGGAAAAGATATTGACGGCAACGGGCATAATGGTACGTGCACTTTATAGTAGACGCTTTTTAAGTGGGACTTTCTTTTACTCAGCGCGTGGTTGTTGAAAACTAAGCAAATTTTTCTGCTAACACATACCGACATCGGTTACATTACCTCAAATCCAAAGCAAATAGGCGTGACGTTTAGGTAACACGCACAACTACTACAAGTTAACATGAGAAGAATGACGGCTAGTTTCAGGTTGATATTTTCTCGGAAATCCTACATAATGTCAAAAAACAACTTAATATAAAATATGGAATTGTCACCTTTAAATTACTTAATGGGAATCGAAATAATTTCAAGATGATCAAAGTCGTTTTTTGGAAAGACTCATCCAGAAACGACCCAGCGTTAGCTGCTGATGCTTCGATGGTGTTTTCTGGCCGTTTCCATCTCATGCCACGTGGGTTCATCTCTCTCTTACAGGCAGCTACGGACATATGGCGTTTTTAAGAACATCAAGGTCACAGTAGAAAACCTACTCCGCCTCTAACGCTGCGCATTGAGGAAGGAGTTAACATTCTTGAATTTTAAATCAAATGGTGACAAAGGGAAAGTCCCAACTTCCGGAAACTTTGTATTTCTCGAATCTATACCTTATACTAAACTATGCTCTTCGCATCAGATCTAGTAGTTGGAGCCTTCAAGAGTGGACAAGTCTTCGTTATCAAAACCCGCAGTATAATAGACTTCCAACTGTCGCTAGATACCAATGTTTCTTCCATTGGTAATGGTCCTATTGCTATCAAGTATTGTATTTACTATACTCAGAAGGGGAAAGTTAAAGACGTAAGACTAGTTAACTTCAAAGTGAAGTTGAACATGGATTACAGGGTCAATGGTGAAAATAACTTCGAACACACTTGGGTCGTTCCTTTGGAAAGAGGTGCTTGTGAAAATTTGACAGTTACTATTCAGGTAAGTGAAATAAAAGGCTTGACATTTTTTCAATATTCTGCTCCACATGGTCATTAGGCGGAATGGAAGGACGCCAAGGCGTCATGTTTAACTCGTAAAAATGTCAAACGTCGGCGTGTTTACTTTCGCATTGCTTCGCCACATTTAGACCAAGCTGACTAGTCAGATATCGACCCTGTTCTAGAACAAATAGGTTTTGCAATGGAATTATATCCTCGAGGGAATATGACAAAGGTCCTTATCGAGAGATACAACCAATTTTCTGACTAACTTTTTTTATTAAACGTTAAAGTTGGAAAAACACTATTTGACGTACTTTCAAATAGTTATGAATTACTTATGTAAGTGGCCCAAAATAATTTGTAGTGGATGAAAATACCTTCAAAATGAGACGACCAATTTGCCGTGACTGCTAATTTATCATAAAAAACATCAGGAATCGTCGAAATGCATAGCGGGACATCTGAAATATAAGCTAAAAATTTAAACCTCTGTAGTGCTTAACATCCATAGAAAATTTCATTCATGGCACATCAGTTTCTGCAATTTCTGAACTATTACTATGTTTTTCAGACAAGCTGTTTAGCGCCTTTAGATAAATCAATTGGCTTCATATTGGGCTCATTCTCTTGCTAGAGGCTTAATTTTATATCGTATTAGAAGAGATATCAGATTTCCTTTTACCAACCATGACAAAAAGCCTCGCCAATTGTACATCTATTCTTGCCTTTGCTGTCTCGACCATGGACGTCTCCCCTAACGCCCAAGTGCTGTCGATTCAAAGGCACTATACATTCAGGCATAAGACCGTAAGGCGGGTGCTCTTGTCGCTCGACATCAACAAAGCTTCTGGTCTGGACCTGATTCCTGCAATTGAACTGAAAAGGTGTGCAGCGGAGCTTGCTCCAGTTCTTTCGCATCTCTTCCAGATATCTTATGAATCCGGCACCTTCCCAGAAAAGTGGAAATTTGCTCATGTCCAACCCATACCAAAAGAGGATCAAAGACCGACCCTTACAACTACAGGCCTATAGCTCTGATTTCTGTTATAAGTAAGGTGACGGATAGGTGCATAAATCGCGAGCTTCTGGACTACCTCGAACGACACGGCTTGATTAGCGACAGGCAGTACGGTTTCCGGCACCAGCGATCCACAGGGTATCTCCTAGCTTCCGTCACGAAATGGTGGAGTAAACTCATCCAGTCTTATGGTTAGGCTCATTTCGTTGCTCTTGACATCACGAAAGCGTTCGATCAGCTGTGGCACGCTGCCCTCTTATGCAAACTTTCATCGTATGGCCTCCCAGAAAAGCTTTGCAGATGGGGTATCCATCGTAATTGATGGGTTCTCCTCTTCATCCCACAACGTCAACGCAGGTGTTTCCCAGGGATCGTTATTGGCTCCGACACTGTTCCTCTTACATATCAACGACCTTCTTTCCTGTACGTTCAACCCAATCCACAGCTTTGCTGATGACAGCACTCTACATGCAGGAATTCAGAGTGACAGGCCGATCTCTGCCGCTGAGCTAGAAAAAAGAATACTAGCGACGACTTCCTCTCTGACGAGAGACCTGGAGATTATCACTACTAGGAGACGCAACAATCTTGTACAGTTTAATGCTTCCAAAACAAAGTCCTAGCGCCCATCCCGTTTCATTGGATGGCCGAGCTCTGCCAAGGAGCCATACACCTCGGCTGGTCGGAGTCCAGATCACCGAGGACTTGATCTGGCACGAACACATCTCGTCAATAGCGGCAGCTGCTGGGAAAAAGCTCGGCTATTTGTTTAGGGCTAAGAAGTACTTTTCTCCGCATGACCGTCTCACTCTATACAAGACCCAACTAAGGCCTAGCCTCGAGTATTGCTCACATGTTTGGTGTGCTGCGGGCCCAACACATCTATGCTCGATGCTGTCCGTCTGATCGACGACCCTTCTCTAACAGACAGTCTCGGCACCCTTTCGCAAAGCCGGGCCCACGGCGATCTAGCTCTTTTCTACCGCTACACCAACTTCAGAGCTCTCTTTCATGATGCCATGAAATCGGATTAACAAACTTTCTTTGGGATCCTCATAGTAGCCGCGGGGTCTCGGTATTTAGGCGTCTGCCTGCGCGGCTGCTTCGGTATAAAAAAAACTTTAAAAACAATTAGAATAAATCTCTTGTTTCTTGACTGTCGTAATTAGGATGCCCACCACTGAAAAGTAATGAAAAATACGCACTTTGACGGAAAAACGAAATTATCGGGACATTTGAGGGACAAAAAAAAAACGATAAAAAAGGAGAGTCTACAGCAAAGGTCAACGGTATAGTCGAACTTGTGTCCATCCACGTGTCAGGAAATGTCCGGTGCATTGACAAAGACGATCATCGTGCCTCTTAGGCCAGGTCTGGACGTTAAGCACTCTCCAGTAAAAAATACAAGTAGAAATCGACGATTTCTGACGATTTGTTGTAATACCAAATTAACTGTTATGACAATTGGGCGTTCTTATTTTGATTGTATATTGGTCCAGAACAACTTTCTTTGAACATAGTTAAACTATCTGAATATACGTCAAAAGTGAAACTTTAACGTTTAATAAAAAAAAAAATTAGTCAGGCAACTTTTTATATCTCTCGGCCTTTTTGTATACCCTCAAGAACTTAATTTTGTTGTATGTCCGGAACCCATTTTGCAAATTTGAAATTTAGTATACAAGGCTCAAGTTGATCAAACCATAAAACTTAATTAGAATCTGAAAAAGATAGCTAGCTTTATTCAAAACCACAACTACGACAACATTATATACAGTTCTTTGTCTTTAATTAGGCTTGCAAGTTATTATATTTTTTTATCAATTTCTAGATATCCTGGTCTAATTGTGGCTGCACGTCTATAGTATTTGTATTGTATTGCCTTTTTTATACTCAAGCAGCAACTTATTGTTTCTCTTGTAGGTTAACGTTTTAAACTTTTCCGACACTAACTTTATTTTAGCCCTCCATGATAGACATTCAACCATTCAGAATAACATTATCGGCTGATGTCACACAAACTGAAGCTATTGCTTTAGGGCAAAATAAAATAGAAAAACTCATACCCTTTTCTCATGGGTGCGGTGACGATAATGTATGTCAAACTGACATCTCTTTGGAAGCATCTTCAGACAAGTAAGTGAATTGCAAATACTCGTAAAATGATTTGATATATCTTGAACATATTTCTACTTTCCGATAATTTTCAGGAAATTATTAGTTTTGGGGCTAGATAACACGCTGAATCTTGATATATTTGCTGATAATCATGGAGAGCCGGGTTATCAATGCCTACTTTACTTAAATATCCCGGTTGAACTAGATTACAGAAATAAAGATAAGTGCAAGAAAAATGAATCTTTAATTTGCCCGTTTGCATCAAGTTTGCCTTCGACTGCAAATGTGAGTTTTATTTTTGCCTAAAGGGATTATTGATACAATTTATGCATTGTTATGTATCCATTCTACTCTATGCACACATAAAGATTATTTTTTAGTAAACTGCTGCCTTGATTCGGATCTAAAGGTCGTCGTCGGTTGGAATTTCTTCCTAACGTTTCGCTAGCACGAGTGGTAAGCTTCTCAGAGGTCCTTCCATTTCCGATGCTGGATGTAGACTGGCGATTTCTCTTGCGCAGGTTGTATTTATACTGGAGGGTAGGCGACGTGGCTTGTTCCGCTTCGGTTGACTTCGGGATGTCGACCGGCACTGCTCGGTCGTTTCTGAGGATTGAGTGCCAGATCGGGTTGAGTCTGAGGGTCTCTTCCTTCCTGTTGAAGTTATCTGGATGTTTGTGAATCTCGATAGCTTCCCTGACCAGGCTATTGTGATAGCCGTTGACTGATGACAGCAGCCTGCAGCTCCCAAAGTGTATCCTGTGGTCCCCATTGCTTAGTGCATGTTCAGCTACCGCAGACTTCGCAGCTTGTCCTAGCCGGCAATTTACTTTGTGCTCCTTGAGTCTCGTTCTCATTGATCTTTTCGTGGTTCCAATGTATACTTTGCCGCATGAACACTATATGCGGTAGACTCCTGCAGCTGAGAGTGGGTCCTTCTTGTCCTTTGCCGATCTGATGGTTAGTCGGATTTTCTTCGTAGTCTTGAAGATTTTTTAATGTCATGTCTTTTCAGGACTCTTGGCACAAATGGAAGATACGCATGAGAGGTGGTGATCTTTCGATGTCCCTCTTGCTGTAGCCATTTGCTTCGAACGCAGTTTTCAGGTGTTCAAGTTCTGTCTGGAGGTTCTCCGGTTCGCAAATCTTTCGAGCTCGTTCTGTCAGGGTTCTGATGACTCCATACTTCTGACTTGGGTGATGATTGGACAAAGCGTGCAGGTATCTGTCTGTGGGCATTGGTTTCCTGTACACTGTGTGACCCAGATTGTTACCTCACTTCTTCACTAGTACGTCCAAGAAGGCCAGTTGTTGGTCATTCTCTATCTCCATGGTAAATTGTATGCTTGAATGCCGATCGTGGAGGTGCTGCATCAACTCGTTTAGCCTGTCCGTGCCATGTTTCCAAATCACGAAGGTGTCGTTCACGTACCGGAACCAAATTGCTGGTTTGTTCTCCGATGCCTCAACCGCCTTCTTCTCAAAGTGTTCCATAAGAAGGTTGGCTATGACTGGGCTAAGTGGACTTCCCATTGCCACTCCGTCTGTCTGCTCATAAAAGCCCCCGTCCCATATGAAGTAGTTCCAGTGAGAGAGAATTCAAAGAGTTCGCAGATGTCAGAAGGGAAGATCCTGCTCACCAGATCCAGGCATTCCCTCAGCGGTACCTTGGTGATACAGGAGACGACATCGAAGCTCACAAGGATGTTGTCGGGTTCAACTACGATGTCCTGAACCTTGCGCACAAAGTCGGTGGAATCCTTGATGTAGCTGGTACTCTTTCCCACGTATGGTTGCAGCAGGGATGCCAAGTGTTTCGCTAAGTAGTACGTCGGTCATCCGGGAGCACTGACTATTGGTCTCAATGGAACATCTGCCTTGTGGATCTTGGGCAGGCCATAGAGCCTTGGTGGAACCGTTTCCGTCCTCGTAACGCTCTTCTTGGTGTCTTATGGCAGTGCTTGATGAGCCGGTTGGTAAGGCGTAGTCGGGCTTGCGTTGGATCCCTCTTCAGGGGTTTGTAACTTTCTGGGTCTAGAAGTTCAATAATCTTCCTTTTGTAGTCCTCGGTCTTCAGAAGAACGGTTGCATTGCCTTTGTTGGCTGGGAGTATCTTGATATCCTCGTCGTTATTCAAGTTCCGTAGTACCAGACCACTCCTCGTCAGGTTGCTTTTTGGTGGTTTCGCCGTTCTAAGAATGTTGGCAGTCTCCATTCGTATCTCCTCGGCGACGTCGTCCGGTAGTTGTCTAATGCCTGCCACCGTACTGGAGATAATGTCTTCAACCGGAATATGGCGGCAAAGGACAAGAAGGACCCACTCTCAGCTGCAGGAGTCTACCGCATACCGTGTTCATGCGGCAAAGTATACATTGGAATCACGAAAAGATCAATTCGAACAAGACTCAAGGAGCACAAAGCAAATTGCCGTCTAGGACAAACTGAGAAGTCTGCGGTAGCTGAACATGCACTAAGCAATGGGGACCACAGGATACACTTTGGGAGCTGCAGGCTGCTGTCATCAGTCAACAGCAATCATAATAGACTGGTCAGGGAAGCTATCGAGATTCACAAACATCCAGATAACTTCAACAGGAAGGAAGAGACCCTCAGACTCAACCCGATCTGGAACCCAATCCTCAGAAACGCCCGAAGTCAACCGAAGCGGAACAAGCCACGTCACTTACCCTCCGGTATAAATACAACTTGCGCAAGAGAAATCGTCAGTCTACATCCAGCATCGGAAATGGAAGGACCTCTGAAGAAGCTTGCCACTCGTGCTAGCGAAACGTTAGGAAGAAATTCCAACCGACGACGGCCTTTAGACCCGAATCAAGACAGCAGTTTATCAACTGGCCGCGAAAGCTTTAACCAATTTGTTGTTTTTTAGTAGACACGGTGCAAAATTGTACCGAGACGAGACGTGCTAAAAATAAACTCGGACGCCGTTATATTACCTAACATATGTATATTTTTTAGATGCATTTGAAATTCGATATAACCCATCTTACAACGGATAAGGACAGTATACTAGTCCAATTTGAAATAAAATGTCTGGGAAGAAACTTGACTCCTAATAAGCAGGCATTCGTTTGGAATGTTGTGACGAAAAACTCGCCATATATTGAAGGGTATGTCTTGATTAAAATGTGGTACAATACTGCAGTAACTGGGAAGAATAGAGCTCTAATTATGCTATCTAAAATGTCATGTCATATGTCACAATCTATCGAGCCGCTTAAGCTGCAATACGTAAAATTAAAATTTCAAAGTTGATTTTTTCGATTAAAACTTCTCAGAATTTTAATATACCTACCTAATGTCACTCACATGGCTAAGCCGAATCTAACATCTCATTCTTCAAAGTCCGCTAAGTCGTTTAGACTGTAGCCCATGAAATAAATTTATTCCTGTGTACATAAATATACTAAGTGACATATAAATCCGAACACCCAGTTTAAATGGTTTTATTTTAATAAAAGTTGGTGATTGTATTTATCTTACTGTAAATAACAAGTGAAAAAATTTTCAGCCTTATCAGTTGGACATTCCGGTTTTTATACTACTTTTTTTAAATTCACTAACGCTCTAAAAATGAATATTTCAGCCGCAGTAAAGAATCAACGTTGGCGGATTTTGGTTCTTGACATCCTTTACGATCGGTTACGATGCCTAGAGTACGGAGACCTGTACGATTTCGTCAACTTAGTGAGTTTGATAGGGGCCGTATAGTGGGACTTCCGGAAGCTGGACTTTCTTTTCGGGCAATTGCAGTTAGAGTGCAAAGAAGTGTAGACACTGTGGTTAGGTGTTGTCAGGCATGGCTTCGAGAATGTCGTACGCAAAGAGCAAGGGGCACTGGACGCCGCCGTAGAACAACAGACCGTGAAGATCGCCGTCTAAGATTATTGGCCTTAAGGGACCGTTTCTCCACTACCAGGTCCATTGCAAATGAATGGTTTGCAGAACACGGAAGACCTATTGGCATGCGAAGTGTTTACCGACGAATGAGAAGTTTTGGCTTGTTTTCATACCGGCCACACTGGGTCCTCCCTTTAACTCGAGAACACCGACGTAATCGCCTTGAGTGGTGCAGACAACGGTCACTCTGGGATCAGGAATAGAACAGTATTGTCTTTAGTGACGAGTCTCGATTTTGTTTAGGCATGCACGATGGTCGTGCCAGGGTTAGAAGGCGACGTGGTGAAAGGAGGAATCCACAGTTTTTTGTTGAAAGACATGTTCATCACACTGTTGGAGTTATGGTTTGGGGTGCTATAGCTTATGGTTCCAGGTCACCTTTAATCTTCATCAGAGGTAACATGAACGCGCAGCGTTATATCCACGAAGTTCTAGAACCCTGCCTGGAATGAGATACCACAGGAGGACATTGACCACCTGATCAGAAGCATGCCTAGGCGCGTTGGAGAATGCGTAGCACATTAGGGTGCATCCACACATTATTAAAGATCAAAGGGCTTTAAAGCAGTGCAATCATTTTGAAATTTTTATCATTTACTTATTATGCTTCATTAAGTACTTAAACAAAATTTTATTAAAATAAAACCATTTAAACTGGGTGTTTGGATTTATATGTCACTTAGTATACATTCATATATACATACATGCATGCACAAATCTACATATAATTCGAGTTATCCATTCTTGGGATTCGGTCAATTTAAAACATTTACTATAAATAACACAACGTTTCGGCGACTTTAAACGCCATCTTCAGGTATGTGTGCATGTGATTTTATAGAATTAAACAAAAGCATGAAAAATGACAACACAAAACACGTTACAGTTGAAAAAATTATCGTAATTGTTGTAATCTTTGACGTTTTTATTTTCAGAAAATCACATAAACTTGAAGATGGTGTTCAAAGCTTCCGAAACTTTGTATTCATGATAAGTGTTTTAAATTGACCGAATCTAAAGAATGTATTACTTCTATAACTCTCCATCTGTGACAACCGGATAATAGTGCACCTAAAAATTATTACTGGTGTTTCAAAGATGGAATAGAAACAGTAAGCAGAAAGTTTGACATCTTTGGTAATTTTAAACTTTTTCAGCAAGTCAGAACCGAATAATCTCTATTACGGGAACGAAGATACCTCAGATCAAGAAATTACCCATACGTTTACTGTTGGAAACTTTGGCCCTTCCCCTGCGAAACTAGTTGTTACATTTTTGCTACCGATTGTAGATAAAGAGGCAAATCTCTTTAAAGTACTAAGTGTAAAGGTATTATATTGGATATATCAATTATAGTCAAGCATCAAAATAGAAGAGAGAAGCGTAACTCATCCTAACAGCGGCGTATGAGGCTTTACGCTACTTACTTCCATGTACTTGGTACTTGACTATAGATGGTAAAAAATGAACACTACCATTCGAAAGTTTCTGGACACTTGACAGTTGATTCTTAAAGCCGAGAAAATAGATGGGAGGAAGGTATTTTAATATAATTATTTATACATGTTACTTTTACGTACCTCAAATACTGACAGGAAAGGCATTTATTGCACAAGTTGTATTTACACACTTTTTTGATGAAAATATCCACTTCTCACATACAATATACTTTCAGGCTGATGTAACGGCCATAAAGTTTATATTTCAATTCTCCCAAGTCTGCGTAAAAGAGCTAATAAGGAATGAGTCTGCAAATCAGTCGATCGCCATCTGCTCAGACAACCAGGCAACCAAAAAGGCATTAAGTTCATCGCAAACATCGTGTAAACTAGTATGGTATTGCGTGAACACTCTCAAAGAGCTGGGAAATCATACCAGAACATGAAGGGCACAAAGGAAATGAAAAGGCGGATGAGCTAGTCCGACAGGGTGCGGCCAATCGCCTTATAGGCACAGATCCTTTAAGCATCCCACAAATCGGCGCGAAATATTCGCTTTGGCTGCGAAAATTTCGCGGCGATGAATTCGCGATCAGATTAAAACGCGGCGGTTTACGGACAGGCTCAGACTTGTGCGAAGCGAATGCGATTGTTCCAGCGTTTTTATCGCGGCGTATTTCAGTTCGCCTTTGACCGCGTTTTTGACGCCGTTCTTCAAAAATTCGCAATGGCAAAAACGGAATTATTGATAGAAATAGTGAAAAAGTATCCTTGTTTGTATGATTTGTCGAACGATGAATACAGGAATGTGAGAAAGAAAGACAAGATTTGGATGGAAATAGGAAAAGAATTGAATACAAATGGTATGTACCTAATATTTTTTATTAACTTGTTAAATAATTTACAGTCTACACAAATGTGAAAACGAACATTCTATATATTGGGCATAGGCATATCAGAATTAAAATAATTTACGAATTTGTCACGAGTAGAAAATGCTAGCCTTGCTTCCCGCCGAGGATCATTTTCTATATCAGTAAAAGCTCCAAGCACGGGTTCTGGGGATCTAAGAATTGAAAATATTTGTCATCGCCACTTTTACTTCGTAAAAAATTGTGTAAAACACATGCCGTACGTACAATTAGAATAGTAGTATCTACTTTAGTTTCTAATGGCCTGTAAAATATTCGCCATTTTTGAGACAAAATACCAAACGCATTTTCCACGACCCTTCTAGCTCGACAAAGTCTTACATTGTATTTCTCTTTTCTGACGTCTGTTAAAGTCTGCTTATAAGGAAATGGTCTCATAAGGTATGGTTTTAAAGCAAATGCTTCATCACCAATTAAGACGTACGAGCAGATTTCATTTTGCCCAGGGAGAAATCTAGGTGCAGGGACACTCATTAAATTTTGTTCAAATCGTTTTCCCATGTTTGAGGTTTCGAAAATACCCCCATCACTATTTTTTCCGAAACCACCAATATCAACACATATAAATTTATAGTCCGGGCCAACAATGGCCAAAAGTAGGTACTATTGAATATTTATGTAAATGGCACCAGTAATTGGAGCCACTGTTGTTAGGTCTCTTGATTGTTACATGTTTACCGTCCACGCTGCCAATGCAATTAGGAAATCCCCATCTATTTTCAAATTCTTCAGCACATTTTTTCCATATATTCTCTGTTGGTAAATATATATGCTCCATATGTCTGCATATCGCTTCACAGACTTCGGTTACGATTGCACTCACTGTTGTAAAGCCAACTCGAAAGCTATGCCCAATGGTAGGTGTCACCAGTGGCAAGGAATCTATAAAAAAAATCGTTTTTAGGTGATGAAGTAAAAAAAAGGTGGAAGAATATCAGAGACACATTTGCAAAATATATAAAATCTACCAAACCAAAGACCGGCCAAGCAGTGGGCAACATAAAAAAATGGCAGTGGGCTGACTACATGGAATTTTTCCGTCCTTTTTTGGCATTTGCCAAAACGTCATCTAATGTGAAAGATATTGACGTCATACATTATGAGACTGCCGAATTTAACTCAAATATATATCAGGAAAGGGCTGGAAATGTAGAAACCGAAAATTTGGAAGACCGCGGCCATGGAGAAGATGAAAATGCTGATGTAGATGCAGAAGATGCACAGAACGCCTCGGCAACACAGACAGCACCACCTTCTTCATTGAACACTACAGCAGTGACTACTCCAGGGCACACCTTTCCGCAGACTGCAACTACACCAAAATATAAAACGAGCAGAAAACGCTATGAACCACCATCTTCGTCTGTACAACAGCTCATTAATTATTTTGAAGGTTAAAAACCTAAAAAAGAGAACGAGGCCATTGATTCCCTTTTCTTGGCACATGCACAGACTGTGAAAACACTTCCCTTAAAGCGTCATCTTTCACCAAGTTCAATATTTCATCGAAACACTCATTCTAAAATATACGTAAAAGGGCCGTTCATCCAGCCGAAGTTTTGGCATCAAGGTATGGTATTTCCCAAATTTATTTCGTTCCAAGTTAATATCATGTACCCACTTCCTTCGTTTCCTAAACAAAATTGAAAATATTTGTTTTATGTACTTCGTTAAACTTAATACATACCCAACTATCAAATGGCGTTAAATAAACATAACTTACCGTGCATTTTGTTCCTCTTCTAAAGCAAGAAATAGAAGTGCCTCCTCTTCTTCTGAAGACGAGCTCATTGCAAAAGGCAAAAATAAAATGTACCCAACCTGCCGAAACCTTCACGTTCGCGGAGCGAATAAGACGCTTTGGTATGAATAAACAGGCGAAACAGATTGCGAATTTCGCTCTGAATTTTGTTGCGAATACTTCGCCGCGATTATTTCGCGCCGGTTTGTGGGATGCTTTACGCGTATGTGGCGTGACGACAACACGCACTAAATAGTCCATAAGAAATTTGGCCAAGAAAAATTCCCTAGAAGGCAAACGAGTGCATCAATGAAGGCCCCCGCGTTTACAGAGGGCCTACGTGGATTTAATAGGAATGCCATAGTGGGACTCCTGACAGGACGACAGGATACTGTCGTCTAAATCGGCATATGAGGCTCTTGGGTTTGGCAGAACAAGTCACATGTCGTTCCTGCAGAGAGCATAAGGAAACTCCTGTGTCACTGTGAAGGCTTGGCAAGGCTACGGTTTCAGATACTAAGAACCACAGGTCCAACAACGGAAAGCTACATGCAAGCAAAAGTGCTTAGTATTTGAGATATGCAGGAAAAAACAAATTTGTCTGATGGCTTGAGTTCAATGTGTACGAGAAAGAGAGGTGCGAGAAGTGTGTATCAACACATATTAGAAAGAGATAGAAGCCGGCTGAAGAGCGAAGGTCATCACCACATTGCCTAGCAACGGTGACGCAGAAGGTCGTGTAATCTGCCGCGCTGCCAATGTATTGCACCAGAAAATGTGCGCACAGCCTTCTAAAATAGGTTAGGTTTACTGTCAAACTCAACATTTAATTTATATTTTGCTTAAATTTAGATTAGAATTATTTATTTCAATTTTGATGCGACTTACTGTCTTAATTTATTTTAGAATTAGCTTTGATTTTGACCTATGGGGATAAAATCAACACATCCTGAGTTATGGCTATATTTTGAGATAGCGAGCGGAAACCTTGATTTGGAATGTACGAGATGCGGTGTTGCCAAGCGAACCAATGCTGCAATGTTGCAGAATTTGTGCCCTGACCTTTCATTTCGACCATCGTTAGGACCGATTCGGAATCGATTCTAAACAGATTCGACACAATTCAAAAATGCGTACGCTCAAAATTAGAGGATTATTTGGGTGTAGAGACTAAACCCACGCATCTTAACTCAAGGAACTGGAGCAACATGTTGCTAGGCAACGCGGTTATAAGCTTCGCTATCCAGCCGGTTCCTATTCCTTTTGGTTCTAAGTGTATATCAGACTAGGGAATAAAATAAACAATGGTGCCTTGATAGTTAATAATTTTTTCACTATATGACCCAGCTTCTACCAATTTCTTTCTGTATTTTCCATTACCGACAATCATGTGTCCAAAAACTTTTGAGCAGTAGTGTACATCAAATTTTAATAATTAATTTTATGGTTGGTAAAATGTTTTGTAGGGACTATTGAATGGACACTCAATATCGTGCTCCCAAAAATATCGAAATAACGAAAGAGGGCACAGGCCTGAAAATTTTCTAGTCGAATATGTTAACAAAAGCGTAATACTTGATTGTTCCGACAATGACAGTGCATGTGTCGAGATATCTTGTGATGGAGGATATTTATATAGATCTTCAGAAACGGCTACGTTTGATATCAAAATTAATGCTGATTTGAAATCGTTAGGTAAGTAACTCCACCAAATGTTCAAATACTTACCCTAAAAGATATTTGTGTATAATATCAGTAGTAACATGCTGTATACAGTATTTGACTAATAGTGTATTAATTGTATTTTAGGTTCTAGGTATAAAAGCGAACAGTTCAAGGACAGTATCATTTATGTATCTTCAGCATTTCTGAATAATTCAACCACAAGGTATATTAAAAAGTTTTTATATAGTTTCTTTCGCGTTATCCATGATCATTGACATAGAAATGCATTTTACAGCTCATCAGCCAATGACTTGTATCTTTGTTAAATATTCAGACCTTCACTTTAGATATATAGCTTCAGTTGACCGTAAATTTTTCAGGACCGTTCAAAACAAAAAATAGTTACATAGATGTTTAACAGAATATTAGTAAATGATACTAACTTGATTGATATAATTAAATTATCCAATAGCAGGTCCTGCAGTACTATTGCCAAAATGTGTGGTAATAATAAATATTAACCCATTGATAAAACTGCACTTATATCTGATTGTTTCTTTTACTATTACTTTTAGGATTGAAAACTACGCATCGACACTTATATTCTCTGCAAGCAAAAATTCAGTGCCATTGTGGATTTATATAGTTGGTGCTCTTATTGGTTGTCTTTTACTGTTACTAGTCATATTTTTGTTGTACAAGGTAGGTAGACCAAATTGTAATTTTTAAACTATGCCATGTGTAGCTTTTTCTTGACTTACGGCCAAGACTTCTGCAAATTCATGAAAATTTCTAAAGAAATGGCGTTAAGTCAGCCACTTTCAGCAAAAATTTAACTACGAATCATTACAACAAGGAAATTACATGGATCAAGTCAGTCAAAGCGGCCTATACAATTACAATTAGTCCCCAGCTCCCATCGGTTTGACAACGTAGCGACCTAGATATTTCTTTTCTGCTTTCTGTTTGCCAGTGACACCGGTCAATTCGTGACAGGTTTCATCTATCTTCGTTGCGTCTGACGCAAGTACTAAATATTTTTCATTCCAAGCCTTAAGTCCAAATGTATGGGTGAATCTCCGGCGTTAAAAGCGCATGAATGTACTAACGCCAAAAAATTGAGATATACATTTCCCCACCCCTACAACCCCCCACCAACAATTTTTCACCCGGCAAAAAAAAATTAGGAAAATTAGCAAGAGTATTTGAGATATCAAAAAAAGAAGTTAGAGCGATTCTTGTTTTTTTTTTGCCTGCACTGGATTGCTTTTCAAAACTTATCAACTCTTTTCGTCCTTGGCATAGTAGTATCTAACCTCCATTAAGATCAGTGCAGGGCTTTCCGAGTTTTAGGGCTAAAGATTAGAGACAAACAACGTATTAGTATTCGTAATCTACCATCAGTGTGACAACCCAGTTGACATAGGCTTACCATTTTGAGTTTACATTTTATTGATTGATATTCGTAGGATAAAACATAGCCCTACTTGAAAATACAGCTAACGACAATATCGCTAGTTTTTGCCAAAAGTATTTGAGAAAGTGACTGAAGATAATGGTACTTTACTTTACTCAATTAATGTGTAAAGAAGCGGCTGCCAAGGAATACAAAGTTACCATTAGAAGGGGCAATCGCGAAAAAGCCTTTAAACTTCTGACTTTCAGAGATATTGACATTTTTCTAAGAAGTCGGATCCTTTTATTGCTTTATAGGGTAGTGCTGACGTACTTTCACGCATGCATGGAATAGATTGTAAAAAATTGTTTGTAATCGCATTAAGTAATTGTGTTTATACAGGGTGATTCATGTCATTATTGTTTTTATGGCTTGGACTACGGATGACAAGTATCCTTTGCTTAAAAAAAAGCGAGTTGAGAAATAGTTGTTAGCATCTTCGTCATTGCATTGACTGGCGATCATTCATCTATGCTACTGTCTTCCTTGTCATTACGAGACCTCAGTAATCACTGTTCCGATTTTGTCAAAACTTGAAATATACTGTATGGTAAAAACTTTGAAAATAGATGTAAGGGCGCTGGTTAAGTAAAAAAACATCTTTTAAAATACCTGTCTGTAGTTAGGTGAAAAACTGAAACAAAGAATATAAAATGATGTGAAAGAAATGAAATGAGACTATTATTAACTACAAAGGATATGGTATGAATGCCACTGCATTTCGACCGATGCAGCGATTTGGATAATGTTCATTCAAATACTGAATGACGCATCTAAAAATGTGTGGTGGTGCCCGGTCATGAAGAAACCACAAATTCTGTCTCCGTTGTAATGGCATGTTATCTAAGGTCTGTTCCAACAGTTCTGGTAGGTAATTGGCTAGAAAGCTGAGGTATCCTTCTCCTGACAACTTTGGGGGTAACTCGAAAGGGCCAATTACCTAATCGTCAAGAATACCCGCCCAAATATTTATTTCAAGACGATGTTGGAAATGACCTTCACGAATGGTATGAGGATTTTGTTGGGTCCACGTGTGAGTATTATGGAAATTTAATATCCCGTCTCGCGTAAAAGTATATTCGTCCGTCGCTAGAATGTTTTTAAAAACATCCGGATGTTCAATGTTTTTGTGCAGAAACAAGGCCTGCACTCTTTGTACATAGTAGGGATAAAGCAAATTTTACCATAGGATTCTATGGACTATGGTATGCGATAGTCCTACGCGGCGGCCTAATTCCCGAGTGCTGATATCTGCATTGATTTCCACGATATTTAAAATTTGTTCCTCCTGCTTTACAGTAACCTGTCTTTCACGAGTGCGAATATTAGTGGGCTGAACCCTTCCTGTATTTCGAAGTCTTTGGTATACTTGCACAAATGTCCTTCTGTCTGGGTGTACCTGTTGGCGAAATCTGTCGCTATAAATTTGAACTGCAAGATTTGAATTCTGACGAGCTTCACCGTAAACTAACAACATGTCGGCGAACTCTTGATTCGAGAACATTGTAAATAAACAGGACAAAGTAAGCGAACAATAACTAATTACTGTTACCGTTTGCGATCGATTGCCGGTTCGATAAGAGTGGGGAATGACCGACGCGCTGTTGTCATGTGTTTAAAATATTTAATTTAATGAAACTTATTGACTACAAATTTTGGCTTAACATAGAAAAACTTAATGGCATTTATTAACTTAAAAACGCTTTAGATTAGATTATAAAAATTAGTAAGATTGTGGTGATTGTGGTCGATATAAAGCAACTATAAAGCCATTTAGACAAAAAACTATTGTCTTTTGGACCATGGGTCATAAGAACTTTTTGACTTATTTTGACCCCGCTATTACCTATTTCAATAATGACCACCATACGTTTACACCCTGTATACTAATATAGTTTCCGTCCATTGGAGCACAGACTGCCAACCGTAGACAGCTGTTTCGTGCTATTTGGCAACTCATCAGCTTGGTGTCGACTTGGTCTCAGGTAGGCCAATGAACGATAGCTGTCCAACTATCTTCTACCCATAGTATGAAGTCTATCGAAATAAAAATTAACAACTTACAGTGGTCGATTCTGGTAACAAATGGCACTTTGTTCTGTTTTATTTTGATAAATCTATAGATCGAGATATATAAATTTAGGATTACCCCTAGTAGTGACTATATCCCGGCTGACATCTTTAAATTGAAAATGACTGCGGACTTATATAAAGGGAAAGAAAATGATCAGCAGAAAACTGTTCACAAGGGTGAGTAAAACTGACGTCCAAGTCATTTTCTCACCTAGCCAGCTCAACCAAGTGCTTTGTAGATACTTCCTCCAATTCTGTAACATATTCAATGAACCTCCGAAAAGGCCCTATCAAGCCTCCACATTGATCATGGGTTAGTCTGAAAATTAGTAGTAAAACTTCACATCACATTTTTGTGGTATCTCGTTTTTGACACTGGTACACTCATGAATCATAGATAAATTTTGGATGGATTTCTTAATTCTCAACTCTCAATTAGAATGTATAAAAAACCGGATTCCAAATATAATTAAATAACAAAACTTGCGTAAAAACATTAGCAAGGAAATGAAACATCGGAACACCGACCATCGACTACCTGGGTGGTTATAGTACAGGAAGTATCTGCGCACCTGCTTGGAAAAATATTTTGAATGTTTGAATCTCATTGAAAAGAAAATTTTTCCTTTTTAAATGAGGCTGTGTAAAAACCTAATCAGACTATATTTCCGAGCCGATACGGAGCCACTTCCTGGACTATTACTGCGGGTGATCGCATCCAAATGGGATTTCAGTCACCAAAGGTATCATCTCAGCCACAGTGGCAGAATCTGTTTTTTTCCGACGGAGTGGCTCTTCTACTGGTAACTCTGTATTCTTTGGTTTTGCGATTAAGATCGCTTTGACAAGTGTGCAATTTTCCTATGAAACTTTAGCTCTTAACATGGCACAGTTAGTGAATTTGCTTGCGTATTTTGTATGACATTGTTGACGTAACCGCCAAAGTCTGGAAAGAATTATACTTCCTCGCCAATTTGGATGATGGGAACATTACTGACATCTTTCTTTTTTTAGTGCCATTTCTTCGACAGGGTGTATAAGGAGAAACTAAATGACGAAAGACTGATGGTAAAAAAATGTTTCGGAAAATTTTCCATAATTAATTATGACACATTTTTCAATTTCAGGGCCAAGGTGTGGAGACAAAGGATCCAGGAATTGATAATCCCAATGACAATGTATATAGTGAATAATAAACTGTTTATTGTAAAAATTGCTTTATTCGTAAAACTTAACGAAGAAGTTATATTACGACTATGTCATAAACTAAGATTTAACAGTATATAAAATATAATGATTGAGAAAATGGATACTTTTATATTTCTTATGTATGGCAACGCAGTAAATGAGCATAGGAGACAAATATCTTACTTAAAATACTAATATAATTGTTTATGAAGATCGAAATATTATTATAATACGTCGTTGACATTACTATATTCAACCATCGATTAACGTTAACCACCCAATTAAAACTGGCATTAGAGAAGCGCCAAATAGGGACTGAAGATTTTATCGCCACCTATCAGACAATGACAGAACCAAACGCTCTTTTCAAAGTATATTTCTGAATTCATTTTTGTGTTCTACTAATGTCTCATAGGTGGCGATAAAATCTTTCAATTTCCTTTTTGAGCGCCGAAATACAATAAATTTTTGGCTACCTTTAGGTAGAACAGGTTAATCAGTGATTCAGTTATGATTATATCAAGAACTGCAATATAAAAATCGGAAAATTAGTGTATCACATGATATTATACTTCCATAAATATCTAATACTGACACTGAGTGCGTGATAAGAAAATATAAAATTCAGGAACTATGATTAACCAATTAACAGAGGAACAGCTGGTCATATGCCTTTAGATTTTAGAGCTGCCACATAGAAGGTTTGAAATGGCGACCACTAGTTGGCACCACTATGGTCAAGTATTTTTATACCTAATTAACTCCAAAAAGACTTCAGTTGATCCTGCTCATGAAAAGGAACTGCTATAAGCTATAGGCGTTACACTGTATACTGATAGAATTTAATATTTTAGAATATTTCAAGTTTAGATATGTGCTACCGTCAGAAGGTGGTTCTAGCTGTCCTCCAACTTCGTTTGACTCAAATTGTACCTAAAATGCCCTTTTCATTCACAGTTTTTAATGTGCGGCAGCTCTTAACATCTACAGTGATTTTCAAAAAACCACCCTTATATCATGCTCATTTTTGATCAGTCAAGTAACAAGCAGGAATTAGGGATGATGCATATTTTAACGTGAGAGAAAATTTCAAAGTTGGGGCTGGGTGTCAACTGGTAACGTTTTTTAATGTGGACTTCATTTTGAAGCTCCTTAATTATACTTAAGCTTTGTGTCTTGTTTGAGAACTAGAAATACCAAAACCGTCCAATGTGAGAGAGCTAGAACTAATTTGCTCTTGTGATATAAATTTTGGGAGTATCTCAATAATATTGAATTGTGGTTGTTTGTACTTGGACAGAGAAATCACAAAAATGGGCTATCCTTTTCTTAATGTCATGCATTTAACTTTGATTATATATTTATTGTGACTATTTACTAATTTTAGTCTAATCATATGAGCAAATTTCTCCGAAATAATTCTAAATCCGGGTTTAATTGAAGCAAGTTGTTCAACGGAGTATTTAAAACATGAACACCTAAAATGGGTACACCAATTTTCATGGGAAAACTTTTTATTCGACAACAAAGAATGAGAAAACGCGTTTTTAGGGATTCAATCAAAAGAGTTGGGAGGAACGAAAAAACTCTTCAAATAAGATTTTTAGATATTTACGAGATCTACATAGTGAGACCACATCCAAAAAGATCCGACTAATAGTAAGAAAGTTACGGCCGAAAACCGAGGCAAAATGCTGGTTTTTGGCACGATAATTTCACACAGCTACTTGAAATTCTTCAAATCCGTAGGCTTTATACATCTAAATAACCACAACAAAATTAGAGTCGATTGGTCAAGTAGTTTTTGAGAATTTCTAATTGTTTATCCCAAAACACCTTTCTCCCGGCCATCACTTCTAGTTTACTGAGCAATGTACAGAGTTAGTTCAAAGGACAATTAAATACACGAATTTACCTTGCCGATGTGAATCACAAACCATGCGAAAAACGACGGGTTACGTTTTTTTCTTCTAAACAAATTCAAACATTTGGTATACAGGTATGTAAGTAACTGAACAGATTCGCTACAATGTTCGAAAAACGTTTTTATACACATTTTAAAACAAAGCGGATGTGTCTATCACCTTTTGTTACGAAAAAAAAAAAACATTTTTTTTAGATTTCTTCATACTCTTGTCTATACATATAGAGCTGAACTTTTTTCGGCCATAACTTTTTTACTATTAGTCGGATCTTTTTATGTGTGGTCTCATTTTGTAGGTCTCTTAAATTCATAAAAATCTTGTTTGAAGAGTTTTTTCGTTCCTGCCAATACTTTCGACTGAATTTCAAAAAACGGTTTTTCTCATTCTTTGGTGTCGAATAAAAAGTTTACCCACAAAAATGGGTGTACCCATTTTATGCGTCCATGTTTTAAATACCCCCTTGAACAACTTGCATCATAAGCCAGACTTTACAATTATTTCACAAGCCAAGGGTATTTTCGTCTAATATGATTAGACTATTTATATTTTTTAGAGGTTAAACGTATTTAGCTTGACATGACAAAAATCGTATATTATTTTGTTTCCGTCATCTGTTGAACTTCCGTACTTTTCGCTAATTCAATTATTGTTTATACAGGGTGTCCCGAAAAAAGTGTGCAATATTCTACCAGCGGTTTCTAGAGCTTAAAACAGGAAGAAAAGGTTATATAAACATAGGTCGACAAACGTCCCCTAAGGGCGCTACGGTTTTTTAAAGGGGCTCCCCTGAAGATGGTTTTTCCTTAATATTTCCGAAACGTGTTGAGATAAAGACATAAAATTTGGTATTCTAGCCTAGTTTTTATTGCTGGATTTAAAAATATTAACAATTTTTGACAGCTTTGTTTGGAAGCGTATGTAACAGGGACGGACTCAGGTTAGTTTAGCCCCAAAATTTTTGTCCGACTCTAATTTTGAAATTCAATTTTAGAATTTGAAAATTTAGAGTTTTCTACATAAAAAAGGTGCTCTTATTGAATATCGATAAATTGTGCCATTTTTGAATAAAATCAAACTAAAGAAATTGTCACATGATATGAAATGTACTGCGAATTTAAATGAATTCTTGAATAATGATCCATGGCAACGAAAAAACTAATTTAATAATTGGTAAATATTACATAAATACATATTTCTATTGCAGCATAGGACATTTAGGCAAAAACAAAAGAAATAATTTTTTTCTACGAACGAAATTGAAATTTGTTTAAAAAAACAGACATACAGTTGGATATACTTAAACCTAGCTTTACAATAAGTGTTCAAATAAATTCCCATTTTGTTGGATACAGAGTCTCGCTCGACGAACTAATGATTGCGTAGCCCGAAAAGTGGAAAACCTTTTTCTTCTTATTTCATTTGCAGCCTGATGGATCCTTTGAAGTAAATCTTCTTGAGTATTTACTTCAGTCGAGTAAACTAGGTCTTTTAATGACCCCCAAAAATAGAAATCCAATGGATTTAGGTCAGGTGAACGTGGCGACCACGCTATAGAACCTCCTCGGCCTAACCACCTGTTTGGAAAATTGACATTCAACCAATTTCGAACATTGCGTCCAAAATGTGCAGGGACGCCATCATGTTGAAAAAACATTTTCTTGAAACTGCTGGCGCTCATCCAATGGTATTATATCCATGAGCTCATTCTGAAGAAAGTTCAGATACACCTCTGAATTAAGATGATTGGGAAGTACAATAGGCCCAATTACTTGATCCCCAATTACTCCTGCCCATAAGTTCAATAAAAATCTATGTTGGAAATTTGTACGGCGAACAACTTTTGGATTTTCATCTGACCAGTGATGCATGTTATGGAAATTAAAAGCACCATCCCTAGTAAATATTGACTCATCCGACCATAATATTCTAGGAATAGTGTTTTCATTTGCTAACATCCACTGGCAAAACTCGATTCGTGGTAAAAAATCTGCCTCCGTTAAATGCTGCACCCGTTTAAATTGATAAGGATGTAATCCTTGCATTCTTGACATTCTTCCTATCTAAAATTATTATTTTTAGGATAACTATCAAATAGGTATGCATAAATTTTTCTTACTATTGATCGAGGTATATCCATAATTTCTGAAAGATTTCGTATGCTTATTTGCGGATTATTTTCAAACATATTTAAAGCAATATCCATACGATGAAAGCTTCCATGGTTTGACAAATTCCGGTGAATATCAGTAAACATTCGACGTCCAGGTACTATGCGATTGAGAAATCTTCTTTGATATTCTCTTACGGCTGCCAATGAATTGCCATTGCAAAACCCGTACACAAAATGCATGTCAGTCAGTTCTCTGTCTGTAAATCTTGGCATTTTGAATCGATTTAATAAAAATTTTGATTTTAATCTTGTAATTTTACACTGCTAACGATGTCAGCTTAACGTCAAAACAACTTTTGTTTGCAGTCATGGCTAACTATGTATAATCAACAATTCATTTAAATTCGCAGTACATTTCCTATCATGTGACAACTTCTTTAATCTGATTTTATTCAAAAATGGCACAATTTATCGATATTCAATAAGAGTACCGTTTTTATGTAGAAGACCCTAAATCTTCAATTTCTAAAATTGAATTTCAAAAATAGAATCACACAAAATTTTTGGGTTTTTTTTTTGGCTAAAATAACTTGAGTCCGTCCCTGTTACATACGCTTCCGAACAAAACTGTTTAAAATTGTTAATATTTTTAAATCCAGCATACAAAACTAGGCCAGAATACCGAATTTTATGTCTTTATTTCAACACGTTTCGGAAATATTAAGGAAAAACCATCTTCAGGGGAGCCCCTTTAAAAGACCGTAGCGCCCCTAGGGGACGTTTGTCGACCTATGTTTATATAAACTATTTTAAGCTCTAGAAACCGCTGGTAGAATATTGCACACTTTTTTACATCCATTAATTGTTTTTTCATTAAATTGGGTTTTAATGATTATTATTATTATTATCGTTTATAACCCTAGAGCATAAATGTACCATCTTTCAAAACAGTGAACTGGTGAGCTGCCAAAGTAGAGCGTTTTTGTAAGTTGAATCACATAGGTGAATAACTCTTCAAACGCTACAATTTGTTATCTTTTAAACGGATGGGTCTATTTGAATATGTAATGAACATGGGACGATCCGTTTCAACAATTGGACAGATTTATATTCAATTGCACATTCAGATAGATCGTTCCGAGAGAAGAAGAATATATTATTTTGATGATTGGTTTTTGAGTTATAAGCAATCGTATGCACAAAAGACGGTCAACTTTGACTGCCTGCGAGTTCGCCATTTCGGGAGACAGTGCTCTTAAATTCAATAGTTATAGAGTACTCATAAGACTCTTTAAAATGTGGTGTTACATGACCCCCATTCCACTTAAAAAAATGATCCAAAATGACGCCCAAACGCCATCTTGAAATTTTTGTGCCACATTTACGCTAAAATATAATCTATATGCATCAAGTTTATCGCCCACAATTTTAGCTTGCCAACTTCACCCATTCAAAAAATCGAAAATTACGAACAAAGTACGAAACTGCTCTGAGCTTGCCCCACAATTAAATATGGTTAGTGTACGGTAGATTATTAGCACTAAGCGTACTTTTGCTTTTCTTCAACTTAATCTTTTCCTTGATATGTGTTAGCCTCGATGATTCTCTGTGTATATTATTCGGATTCTCCGGCTGTACTTGCTGTTTCAAATTCTGCATCTGCACGACGGACTTCAGATCAAAACAGAACCCGTCCTTATCACAAATCATCGGACTTTGCAATGCTGTCAATGGCGTCTTGATCAGACTCGATTCGGTCTGATTCTGCTCTGGGGTATCCAGGTAAAACTTAGGGACTGAACTTTGCCTGATAATGGGCAATTCCTTTGGGAAATCTATCTTGAGGTACAGACTCTTTGAAAGTCGGCGTTCACTTATGGATTTCTTCCGCAGTTCGACTTTCATGTCGTCTAATAGGCTGTTCTCGCTCTTGACTGTGGGGATTGAATCAGGTGGATCTTTGGAGATGTCTAAGATTGAGCCACAGCTGAAGGATTTATTCATGGCACTGAATTTGGGATCCTGGAAATAAAAAAGAGTCTTATATTCCTGATGCACCAATTTTGGTATATTAGCAAGGTCCGCTTTTTCAAGTTCCAATTAACCGAGATTTTATTGCTAACCAGAGGTTAACTCTAAAAACGCTTTTTCAATATCAAGTTTAGCTAAAACTGAGGTTAATTACGAGTATAATCAGAAGACCATCTACGTGTTAACTGGAAGGTTGTAGCCACAATGTTTGACCTTTTTGGCTTGACAGCGACATGTGTTGTGGCGGATGACACGAGACACAAAAGTTGGGAGTAAAAAGGTGCAGAGCACCTGATAGTTCAAACGTAGAAGCAGCATTTCCAGTTCAATCGTTACAGGTTAGTTAACCAAAACAAAACAAAATTGCCCCCACGTTTCCAAATCAAATTATATTGGGTTAAATCACCTTAGGCAAATTTTCAGATCGATAGGTAGGTAGGGGCCCCTAACCACAGAATTGTGTTTTTTCGAAAATAGTGTTTCACCGGCACAATTTTGCTCAAATGGTTTTGAATAAAATATCGATGCTACATTGTTATATACTACATAATCGTGATTTTTTATAGATTTGTGTATCGTATAGGTTAGAGAAAAAATAATTTGAATTTTTTCCGAATGTTTGGTTTGGTATTGAAAATTTCACAAACTTAAAAATCCACTGTATATTAGTGCCTTTCCGCATTCTTTTCAGTTCCTTTAACAAAATCATGAAGTTTTGACAAAAAAATCGCCAAAAACCGCTAATCGCATTTTCACCGATTTTCTCCAATTTTTGGCATTTTAAACATAGAATAATGTAAGTTGGCTAACTTGGAAGCTCAACGTGTATATGAACTTTTGTTCATTCTTTTAGGTTCCAAAATAAAAATTCTGTTTTGTTTTCCGGAAAATTGCGAAAATAGAAAATGACGAAATTTTCGCTAATTTTCTTCAATTTTTTATGTTTTTGCTCAGGAAAGCAATAGCTGGCTACCCCAGTACTTCATTGCATGTATGCATTTTTCCACGTTCTTTTCAGTTCCATTATTGCAATAATGATTTCGTCTCCAAAAATGGGAAAAAGCGCATTTTCACCGATTTTTCCAATTTTAGGTATTTTTAGAGTGGAATATTTTTTTAGTTTTCATTTTTTGCCCAAAAATAGGGAAAACTGCAATTTCGTTGATTTTCTACAGTTTTAGATAACCCTCTGTGTATTTGAATTATTCTACATTATTTGCAGTTTCGTTATCAAAATCATAATTTATTATCAAAAAACCGCATTGTCATTGGGTTTTCTCGATGTTTGACATCTTCAGTGTAGGATACTATAACTTGACTAAAGTTGGAATAAAGAGATGAAAATGCGGAATTTCCGACATTTTGTGTTTTTTTTCATCATTTCTAGCCACGGAACTGGAAAAAACGTAACAATTGCATACATACGATGGATTATACTATTCTACCCAACTATTTTTCTCCTGACCAAAAGCGCCCAAAATTGAAGAAAAACAGCGAACCTGCGGTTATTCCTATTTTCGCAATTTTCAGGGAGACAAATCAAAATTTTGTATATTTAACCTGAAAGAAGGGACAAAAATACATGTGTTTGTCGATTTTTCAGGATAGTCAACTTATGATACTTTACGTTTAAAATACCAAAAATCGGAGAAAACCGCTGAAAATACAGTTTTCTGATTTTTGACGATTTTCCTGGCAGATTCATGATATTGTTAGTGGGGCAACAAAGCACACCAACATACAGTCGATTTCAAAGTTTGCAAAATTTGCATTACCTAAACAAGAATTATAAGAAAACTTCCAATATATTTTTTCTCGAACCTATAAAAATCTATAAAAAGAGTCACGGTTATGTAAAATATAACAATGTAGCATCAGTAATTTTGTCAATATTATCTGAGCGAAATTGCGCCCGTAAAAATCATTTCCAGAAAAATACGTTATTAATCTGAAAAATTGGAATACGATTAACTAGTGATTGAAAAACCGGGCCTAAGTTGTATAGGGGAAACGCGGAAAAGGTGAACATTTCACATAAAGTCTTACATCCAAGCCGTGAACCACAACAAAAATCTGTGTTTGCAACAATGATTCATGTTGCCAGATAGGTGTTTTGCTAATAATTCCAACTTAATATTGTCTATATTAACGACTTTTTGTGACATCCTGTAGTTTCGAGGCACAAGGGAATTCCAAGGAAAAGGTTACCTGATCGACACTTTCGCGTCTTGTAGTTTGAATTCTGCTGGTATCTTCTTCCTCGTCTTCACTTGTAGTTACGTCCAAAGTAAATGCAGGTGAAGGAGCACTTGATAATGAGCTTGCTTTGAAAGTTCTTTCATCATTCTTCAGTTCTTCTATGCGAGCAATGGCTTTGGTTGGTTCTTCTCTCGTTGGTTCGGTCTTTTCTTCTAAGGCGGGCAGGTTTCGTGGATGATTCTTGTTTCTGAAAGGACCCAATCATCTACTGAACACGGATTCAGGACGTTTAGAAAAAAAAAATATATATATATATATTGAATATATTATCGTTTTTTGTTTTTATGAAGCAGCCACCAAGCTGAATACTAAAGAGCCACGATTTCTATGGACAAATTAGGGTGATCTTGCTAGGAATTTTAAAAAGAGGCTCTGTTCTGTATGGAAGAAGGGCGATCACCTAAGATCACACCGCTTAGGCCCCATTGGGTCCCTTGTATCTCCCTAGAATGGATTCTCAGATTGGGCAGTCGCAGAGCAAGTACTTAACTTTCTCATCTTACTGTTCAAAGCCTCTACATAAGAATGTGTCACTTAGGCCCGTATCGTCAGTCGTCCCTAGAATTGTAGGGCGTGTTTATGGCCTCCTTGATTGTCATACTTCTTTCTCTCCTTCAAAAATTTCTAGATTACACTTGTCCCGTGTCAGCGTCAGCGCTCTCCTATTGTGAAGATATATTTTCTTTTTAAATTGTAGGAAATTTCAGGCTGATAAAACATGATATAACTCAAAAGCAAGCACAATTTGATGCAAATATACTAAGTGACATATAAATCCGAACACCCAGTTTAAACGGTTTTATTTTAATAAAATTTTGTATAAGTACTTAATGAAGCATAATAAGTAAATGATAAAAATTTCAAAATGATTGCACTGCTTTAAAGAACTTTGACCTTTAATAATGTGTGGATGCACCCTGATGTGCTACGCATTCTCCAACGCGCCTAGGCATGCTTCTAATCAGGTGGTCAATGTCGTCCTGTGGTATCTCATTCCAGGCAACCACCAACTCCTCTCGAAGTGCTTCTAGAGTCTGAGGAGGGCGTTGCAAATTGAGCAATCTCCTACCCATCATATCCCACACGTGCTCAATTGGGGATAAGTCGGGAGATCTTGGTGGCCATGGCAACAATGTGACATCATTATGTTGAAAGAAGTCTATTGTGACTCTTGCAACATGTGGTCGGGCATTATCTTGTTGGAAAGTTGGATCTGCCGGGGTGTCAAGATAGGGTAAAAGATGGGGTTCTAGAACTTCGTGGATATAACGCTGCGCGTTCTTGTTACCTCTGATGAAGATTAAAGGTGACCTGGAACCATAAGCTATAGCACCCCAAACCATAACTCCAACAGTGTGATGAACATGTCTTTCAACAAAAAACTGTGGATTCCTCCTTTCACCACGTCGCCTTCTAACCCTGGCACGACCATCGTGCATGCCTAAACAAAATCGAGACTCGTCACTAAAGACAATACAGTTCCATTCCTGATCCCAGAGTGACCGTTGTCTGCACCACTCAAGGCGATTACGTCGGTGTTCTCGAGTTAAAGGAAGGACCCAGTGTGGCCGGTATGGAAACAAGTCAAAACTTCTCATTCGTCGGTAAACACTTCGCATGCCAATAGGTCTTCCGTGTTCTACAAACCATTCATTTGCAATGGACCTGGTAGTAGAAAAACGGTCCCTTAAGGCCAAAGCGGCGATCTTCACGGTCTGTTGTTCTACGGCGGCGTCCAGTGCCCCTTGCTCTTTGCGTGCGGCCTTCACGAAGCCATGCCACCTAACCACAGTGTCTACACTTCTTTGCACTCTAACTGCATTTGCCCGAAAAGAAAGTCCAGCTTCCCGAAGTCCCACTATACGGCCCCTATCAAACTCACTAAGTTGACGACATCGTACAGGTCTCCGTACTCTAGGCATCGTAACCGATCGTAAAGGATGGCAAGAACCAAAATCGGCCAACGTTGATTCTTTACTGCGGCTGAAATATTCAATTTTAGAGCGTTAGTGAATTAAAAAAAAGCAGTATAAAAACCGGAATGTCCAACTGATAAGGCTGACAATTTTTTCACTTGTTATTTACAGTAAGATAAATACATTCACCAACTTTTATTAAAATAAAACCATTTAAACTGGGTGTTCGGATTTATATGTCACTTAGTATAGATGTTTGTGACATAACCTCAAAATAGAGTTCTGACACCGAGAAGTAGAAAACTATGACAATCAAGGAGGCCATAAAGGCGCCCTACAATTGTAGGGACGACTGACGATACGGCCTCCTTAATCTCATGTTACAAAAATGTTTCCTTAGCTGACAAAGATCAGTAGGTAAACCGAATGTGTCGTCTGGGCATAGAGACGAAGTGCTACTTTCCCACTAGGATAGCGGAGGAATTCTTCAGCTAATGAGCAGCCCAATGTATCATCCCACATGTTCTTGAAGAGTTTGTGGGTGTGCTCTTTTGGAATAGTTGTCAGAACGGTAACGGGTAAAATGCAGGGGGCTCGCGCCAAGAATCTTGGTATCAGCAGCCCTGTTTGCCAGTTTTTCAGCTATAAAACTGCCCTTGGATTGTGAATGAACATTCACCCATGTAACAGTGAGCATACATGAGTATACGCGGTTTAGTTTGTCGTTGTCTCTTTGTCCTGTCCGTAGGACTTTGCCTTTCAGTCACTGTCTAACGTATCTAAGTCGAATGTGTCAGTCCTAGCTGTCCAGAAATCAGACAATGTCGATGAAAGAGAAAGAGGGAAAGAAAGTCAAAAACGAGAATAGCGGAACGAGTCGCCACTGCTTTCATAAAACCCACCTATCGTTCTTCATCCGTTCCCGCCACGTCAGTCTTCTGGGTTGCTGTACGATGACGTTGTCCTCTTCAACAGGGTCTTTCTTTTTGTCCGTGGCCGGCAATGGGTCGATTGTGACCACGGCCCTGCCGGCAATCACGGCCACGCTGTCGTAGAATGCGATGTTGTCGAAAAGGTTGTTGTTTTTTTCTTCTTTTCCGTCGCCGGAAATCACTGGCTCCGAGTACAGGGCGATGCTCTCGTCGAAGCAGAAGCGTTTTTCGATCAGGTGCCAGTAGCATGACTCCAGGCAACTGAAACAAGGGAATATGAACGGTTAATTTTGGCTTTATTTTTGTAAAAGATTATGACTACAGAAGCCATGCCAAACTTCTTAGACACATTGCTTTACCTCATAAGCACACCACGTGAAGTAGTTAAAATTATCAGTTTTATAGTAGAGCCGTTTATTTATATTATCTATCTAACTGATTTTTTAAGAGGTATAGGATTTGATTTTCAAAAAAACACAAAAAATTTAAAAAAACGATTGAATCTTTATTTGAGTCGATAGAACGGTCGATATAATTTAATGCTTAAAGATTATATCATGTAAATGTTGGCCGCGGCTCCGCTTAAGATGGCCCATGCGCAAGGTCCAATTTTGGCACACTCTCTCCAACATATCGGCCGGTATCTCACGAATAAATGCTTCAATTTTGCTTCCAGTGCGTCAATCGTTGCTGGTTTATCCCTGTAGACATTAGCCTTAACATGGCCCCACAAGAAATAGTCCAACGGTGTTAAATCACACGATCTAGGCGGCCAATTGACGGGCCCCAAACGTGAGATAAACTGTTCATCGAACTCGCCTCTCAATAGGGCCATTGTTTCGTGTGCGGTGTGGCATGTGGCACTGTCTTGTTGAAAACACATGCCAGTCAAGTCCAGCTCTTCCATTTTGGGCAAAAAAAAATTTGTTATCATCGCACGGTAGCGCTCGCCATTCACAGTTACGTTCGGGCCATTGTCGTCTTTGAAGAAGTACGGCCCGATGATGCCACCGGCCCATAATCCACACCAAAAAGTGATTTTTTCGGGATGCATTGGTAGCTCTTGCAATGCTTCTGGCTGGTCTTCACTCCAGATGCGGCAATTTTGCTTGTTAAATGTGGATCTTCCTCCAACTTTGCCAGCGCCCAATCACCAAATTGGAAACGTTGTGGGAGGTCGTGTGGCTTCAATTCTTGCACCAGCTATATCTTATAAGGTTTTACACCCAAATCCTGTCGCAAAATTTTTCACGTAGTGGAGTAACAGAGGCCCAATTGCTGCGATCGGCGGCGAATCGACATTTCACGGTCATCACTAACACTGGCGGATACAGCCGCAATATTTTCTTCAGTCCTCACTCTATGTCTGCGTGTTGGTGGTTTAATGTCCAATAATGTAAACTGGGTTCGAAATTTAGCTTCCGAATAGCTCCCTCAGTAGGCCGACCAAATTGCCCATAAATTGGAAGCAGTACTCGATGCACTCTCTTAACCGATAATGAATTTTGATAGTAAAATTCAATAATTTGCAAGCTTTGTTCGTTCGTAAGTCGATTCATGGTTAAATTATAGACCAAACTGAACATGTTCGACAATGACGCAAGACACGATTCACCCGTCATCTGTCAAAAACAGTGTTGCTAAAACTTAACTATTTGATTTAAGGGTGTTGAAAATGACAGATCTGAAGTAATATGTCTTTTGCTTCCTGTATTCTGTCAAGTTTGTGATTGTCCAGTATATAATCATATAGAATGGTAATGGACAGTGCTTTACATTTTGAGCATCAGATTATTTTTCTGGCACCAGTCAAGAATGTTGTCTAAATGTTCCTGCAAAAGGTCGAAACTGCCTTGAATTACAGAGTAAATTTTTAAGTCATCCGCAAACATTTGGTTTTTAAAAGTACCAGTGGACTCAAGTTAGTATCTTGTGCACTTCATTTGTTGGAGTGTATGATTCTGATTTGCCGTGCTATACTGCACAAATTGAACGCGTTCATTTAAATAGGAACGGAAAATATAAAGAAACCCTCAGGAAAGCCAAATTTTTTTAAGCAAAATGGAGTGGTTTATTCGATCAAATACCTTTGAGAAATCCATAAATATAACGTCAACTTGTTGTTGTTGATCTATAGCAAACGATTCCATGAAGCAGCATTAGTCAGTTGCTGTGGATATTTTGTTCCTAAATCCATATTGTTTTTCTGCAAACATGTTACTTACATTAGTATTTACATACTTATAAAGCAGCATCTCAAGAGGTTTAGAAAAACCACATGCGAGCGATATCGCCCTATAATTCTTTATATTATTCACTTTACCGCTCTTAAAAATAGGACATACCTTGGAAGCCTTCCAGCAGTCCGGAAAGACACCATTTTGAAGCGACGTGTTGAAAATTTGACACAGATGCTTAACAAAAGCTCTAATGCAGTCTTTGACAATGTCTGGACTACTAGATGGCTAAGATTTAGTTTTTTGCAGACTTTCACTATACATTTTTCGCTAAAAACAGGGACTTAGAGAGATTCAGAACTACATGCTTCTTGGTCTATGTCCCAAGTAACAGGCGAATGGTTATATACAGTTTTAAAAAAATGACTTGGATTTTGGGTGTCGAACATTCTGATCATCATAAAACATATCAACATATATTCTAAAGTCCTTTCTTTTAAAGGTTATAAAAGTCCAAATGCTTTGTTATCATTAGAAATGTTATGTTGAATGTTAGCTGTGTAATTTTTGAACGCATGGCTAACATTCAACTTCATCTTAGATCAAGTAATTTACACACTTCAAGCTGTAATGCCGTATATTATATGGGTTTTAACTAAAGCATGATACAGTATTCGGAGATATCTTTCCCTAAGAATTGCAAGTATTCTGAGTTTATAGGCATCATTTCTAATTTTTTTGATAACATATGTAATATGGTTATCCCACCTTAAATGTGAGTTTATAAATACTCCAAGATATTTTAAATTGTTAACTCTATCAATTTTTGTTTTTTGGCCATGATAATTAACAGAAATTTGTTCGAAGATATGTAAAAATTTTGATTCAGATGTAAATAGTATTTCGTATCAATTTTTTCTTTTAAAAGAGTATATCTCTCAATGCTCAATAAAATATGGTACATTCCGTTTAAAAAGATCGTATGTTTTGATAAGGTTATAATGTTCCCGTACGCAGCTTGAAAATGAGGTATGCGATGGTCCCCATAGCATTTTTTTTTTCAGGCGGCGCCCTAGCACCATTGACTTGTTTTAGAAATAAAGTGTTGTATGTTGTATTAATTTTCAAAAATCATCACTTAGAATGTCCTGTTTACACTTCTGGTGTTGATAAGGCTACTGCTGGAGTCTATCAGAGTTTTACTATCAATAGAAGCAACTGCTGCAGGCTCGATTGTTTGTAGGTTCGGCCAGATTTAAGGGTACTGAAGAAAATGTAAAAATGAGATGTTGCCGATTGCACTAGTGCATTACTACAGATCGTTTGACTGTGCTAAGGAAGTCATTGTGAATTTTTCCAAGTAGGTATGTCGTTTCTGCACGACGCAGGAAAGTGAAAAAAATGTTCTTATGTTCAATTCAAGATGATTCTGAAAAAAAAGAAACAGGGATTCGCAATCAAGTTATTTCGTTATTTTCATAGGGCCAAAATAAATAACTCCTAAAATGTTTTTATAAGGGGATTCATACCTACCACGATGTAAGCTAGGAAGTTCCCAATTAATCTCTGTCGTTGGAAACCATTCTACCATGATTAAACTAGCACGGAACATTCCAGAAATCTCGGTTTTTATTAGCTTTTATCGATTGTGCGACGAAGAATAAACAGAAGTAGGGGAAATGGTGGAAGAATAAGAGCAATCTTTATAAAACCTAATCAATATGTTTGACCAAAAATGCTTTAGTGAATTTTTCTCAAGAAAAGTCCTAAAGCTATATAGGGTGTTTCTTAATGATTGGACGTAATTACCGAGGCGCATTCCTGAGCCAGATTTAAGTAGACAGGTTCATCTAAGCATGTACCCTAAAATGTCTGATTTTCAAGATACTGCGTGCCAAAGCTTAAAAAATGTACCCTTTGACGGAGGGAAAATAAAAGCAAACTGTGGCGGAAAGTAATAAATATGTTCATAACAACAGAACATGCAACCATCAAAGTTGATTTGATTTTATTTTAGAAATTTATCAACGTGCAGAGAAATTGTTTTTACTTTTTCTCCTCGAAAACGAAGAAGACAGATTTTTTTACTTATAACTCAAAGATTCTTGTGCCTACTTTGCTAAATTTTAGCAGTGTTGTTCATTGCAAAAAGTCGATAATTTAGCACAAACTAGAAAATAAATTCCAGTGGCGTCTTGCGAGGCAATGTCACGAATAATATTATCAAAAAAAATTACGCCACTGACTTTTTCAAAAATACAGGGTGTAAACGTTATGATAGTAATTATTTAAATGGGTGATAGAGGGGGTTATAAGAAGCAAAAAGTTTCATATAACATGGGGGTCAAAACGGCATTTTTTTTAGAGAAAAGCGACTTTAAATTAAAACAAAATCTGACAACGCCGCAATGCCAGACGCAAACTACAATGGAACGCAGTGTAAATAAAGATGGAGTTTGTTATTTTTGGCTCTTAGGTAGCATTTCATTATTTGATAATGTACTCGTAAAATGCAAACAATTAAAATAAACCGACTTACCACTAACTGTTTCAGCGCTTCACCTGGTGTGTGAAAGTTTATTGAACGTATTAAAAAAAATCCACTTATAAATAGGGAACACAATTTAGATACATACATTGTTTTTCTTTTTAAAACCCATACTGAACTTTTTGTATTTAAAGAAGGTGTTCAAAATGCCGTCCTCGACTTTCCACACAAGCTTCATTACGACGAACCCAGTTTCTCTCTTACTCTAGGTCCTCGAAGTTGTCCATTTATTATTTCAGCCGCATTAAAAATTTGTTCGCAAAGTTGTGCTTCAGTTGTTATTGGACCAGCCCCATAAACCATCCCTTTAAGTTCTCCCCAATACCAGAAATCCAGGTCAGGAGATTTTGCTGGCCATTTTCGAGGATCAGGAGCATTTCGGCCGATCCATTCAAATACTGAATGACGCCTCTACAAATGTGTGGTGGTGCCCCGTCATGAAGAAACCACAAATTCTGTCTCTATTGTAATGGCATGTTGTCTAACGTCTGTTTCAAAAGTTCTGGTAGGTTATTGGCTAGAAAGCTAAGGTGTCC